CGATTGTTTGAATTCGGGCGCGGAACTTTCTTGCAGGCTGGAAAGTATCCTTTTCAGACGGCGAGGATATGCTCGCCGGTTGGAAGATCTGCGGGCTGGAAGGAAACCCTTCCAGCCGGCCATTGGCTCCGGGTATCCCTTGGGATACCCGGATATCCGCCAGGTTTGGGGGGGGAAACGGCCATCCGCAGCCGAATCCGCACCCCCTGGCGGGTATCCGCTGGGACCAGCGGGTATCCGCCAGCGGATAACGGATATCCGCAGCGGATTATCCGCGACCATCTCTAATGAAAGTCCTGGGAGCGCGTTGGGTATTCTCTATAAAACGAAAGCCGGATGGATCGATTGATAAATTTCGCGCTCGCTACGTAGCAAAAGGATTCAATCAACAACTGGGACTCGATTGCAATGAGACTTATGCGCCGACAGCATCATTAAATACGCTTCGAATGCTCATTGCATTAAGTCATCGATTTAACCTTCCAACGGCAACATTTGACGTCAGCTCAGCTTATCTTTATAGTCCCATTGAAGAGGATGTGTACGTACAACCACCAGTTGAACTTTTCCCGCACCTCAAGGGAAAGGTGATGAAGTTGAAGAAAGCGATGTACGGAACAAAGCAGGCGGCTCGTTGTTGGTGGAAATTCTTCAAGAGTACGGTTGAGAAATTGGGTTTTGTGGCGAGTGAGATCGAGCCTTCTCTCTATCTTTTCAAGAAGGAAGACGGTTTCGTAATTATTTGGCTGCACGTCGACGATGGATTTGCGGTGGCGTCCGATCGGAAACTTCTGAACCAACTGCGCGACGGTATGAAAGAGGGTCTTGAGGTGAAATGGTCGGATAAGGTTGAAAGGCTAGTTGGGATCAATATTGAGTATACTCCGGAAGGAGTTTCATTAAGTCAGACTCAAATGGCCAGTCAAATAGTACAAAAGTATCCAAAAGAAGTTTTCCCGAAGAACAGTCCCCTACCCAATGATCTACTCGAGTCTTTCACGGGCAATCCTTTCAATCAGACGGAATATTGATTGGTCGTTGGATCATTGATGTATCTGTCAAGTGGGACAAGACCCGATATTGCATTTCCTGTGAATTTATTGGCGCGGTTTTGTTCGAATCCGAGTGAAGTACACTGGAAAGCGCTGGATTGTGTGGTCGGTTATGTTAAGAAGACGATTGACAAGAAACTGATGTACACGACGAAGGGCGAAGGACTTCAACTATGGACGGACGCAAACTGGGGAGGTGAACATGAGAGATCAACCACCGGGTATGTAATGACTTATTGTGGCGATGCGATAGCTTGGGGATCACGCAGGCAAACAGTGGTAGCACTATCAACGTGTGCGGCTGAATATCTCGCGCTGTCAGAAGGCTCTCAACAATTGGCTCACATTATGAACATACTCGAAGACATTGAATACTATCCACCGATATCGATTCATGTGGACAACGAAGCGGCTATACTTATTGCGACCGACAATGCATCAAAGAAAAAAACCAAATATTTACAACGCGCTTTCTACTTTGTTAATGACTTGATCAGAGAAAATAACATTAGATTAGAATGGACGAGTACGGTGAATCAGGTGGCGGATGTATTAACGAAGAAATTAGGACCAGTGAAAATGACGGAAGCGGCGCGTAAATTGGGATTGACCGGGTAGTTTTTGCAATCATGGGAGGGGGTGTTAGAATAGAACATGCATGATTACAAAAGCCTACTACATACTATGTACTTACTTAGAACTCATGTACATAGCTGTCTAACCTAGTTGGTGATAGGGACAAACCCTAACCCTATCACTGCCTGACACACATAGTTCCGGCATCACACGCCCGGGTCTCCTCTCTCTTTTCCTCACCGAGATTGGACACCCGGGACTTACGTGTTGGTGGCTGACCGCGACGGGCTGTGGTGTGCAGGTTAGTGAATCATGATCAAAGCAATGTACCGAGATTGGACACCCGGGACTTACGTGTTGGTGGCTGACCGCGACGGGCTGTGGTGTGCAGATCCCGAGTTCCTACAAGATCGTCGAAGATTGTCGCCGATGCCCACGCCTCCGGTTGGAATCTCCAGCCGCCGTCGGACTCGGAGGGCGATCGAATTGAGAGCTGGCTGGCTTCTTAAGCGGATCGACTTTAATTGGCTTATGTATGCACTACATACCCTCCGAAGTTTCTATCCAACCTGATCAAATCTTCCGGCACCTCAAGTCAATCGATCCCCAGATTTTATAGGCTGGCTTGCGGAGAACTCTCGACCGTTTGGTTGAAAGCAATTCTTTTGGTGAGGTCTGGCTGACCACAGTTACGTCCAGATTAACGGCAGCTTGGTTTAAGTCGGCGTGATGATCTCTGTCTCTGTCTCTCCGATAAGACTGACTCAGCCTGCCAATAATGCATGAACAAACACTAGTTTATAAAACCCACTGAGTCAGCATCACACCGCCATTGTAAATAAATACCATCACCCCATCTGCTTGATCTTCTCCAACCCACCTCCCCGGTTCAACTTCACACTCTCTTCAAATGTGACTGCTCTCTGAAGCTGGAGCATGTGTATCCTTATAAACCCAGCTGCATAGGACCATCGCAACCACAACAGTTACCTCAGAGATAAATACATAGATTACTAACTAAGAACAGATAATAGCTAATCATAGTCCTTCCTGTTGCATGTTCCAACTTGGACGATGAAGCTCGCCGATCAACTATTCCATCTCAATCGGCCCGCTAACCCTTTCCCTGAACCGGTCCCCCAGCAACCGGGGAACCTCTCATTAGGTTTCATTTACCCACATCCCTTCAGTCAGCAGCATTCTACTGAGGATGAATCTAGTGAGCCAAAAAAAAAAGCCGAATAGATAGATAAATACTAGTCGTGATCTGTAACAATGGTCATCATCGGAGACCTCATGACTGAGAAACATCTGCTTGCCTCCTATGTTTATTTTCAGACCCGTTTCCGAAGGATTCCGGAACAGACTGCTCCAAGTTGAATCCTATTGAACGCTCTGGTGGTGGCTTTGGTCACCACTGGGATCTGAATCGCTCGCATGCCCAGCAGATCGAAAGCTCTCACTTCTCGCCAGCGACTTGGGGTGATTCAGGACGGGGAGAGACTTCGACCTCCTTTGATGGTCCTCCCACTAGTGAATCCGCTCCAGGCAATCATTCTAAACCTTCTCCGGTTCCAACTCATTTTGATTCGCAGTTGAATGGGTGGGTTTCCAATGCCATTGAACCGCCCCGAGCTCGTTTAACTGAACATTCGCCACCCAGAGCTCAACTCTCTGCCTTTACCCTCATGAGATCCAATGAGCCACTACTTCCCAAAACGGATGGTCAAAATTCTTCAGACTCCACCGAAAAGGATGCGTCTCCGGAAGATGATCAAAACAGTTACTTGAATGGTCGGTCAATTTTCTTAATCAAGAAAGTTGGCCCAATATATCGGGCCGGAGAGGCTCAGGACATTCCGATAAGTGAACTAACAAGGCAGTCAATCCGTTTGGTTAGATCACATCATGCCTTGGAATATCATATCGGCGAGTTCCTCCCACGGAGACACGACGGCTTCCCCCTCAGTGATCCAGCGTCCTGAGGAACGAAGACCGAAGCGTTGGAAGCGTAAAATGACAGATGTACGTTTGATCAACGGGTTGTAAAATTTGACCAGATCTTGATCATATAGTCTAACTGAAAAATTGATGCGTAACCATGTTCGTAGAGGAGACGAGAGCAGAACAGGGCCCACCAGAGAGCTTTCCGAGAACGACACAGAGTGGGTTTCTGCCTTTCTCCTGACTAATTTTATTCCTATCGAGTACGTGCAGCTCGCTCACGAAGTTGTCTGAATGATCTGATGTAGCTCTCGTTAAAACAAAAGGATGTGTTGATAAGTCAGCTGGAAGAACGCTTGATTCGATCTCAAGAGGCTATGGTAGAGTGCGTAACAATCTTGATCTAACAGCGAAACACATCCCTGGCCACTTTTGGTATTTCTTCAGCTAATCCATTTGCAATATGTACATGCTTAGGCGGAGCGAACAGATCCGAAGCTTGAGCGCACGGTTGGACGTCTACTTCCCTCAGCGCGGAACGTCATCTGCGCCATGAATTTTATCGGGTTTAACTTACGTCGACGCTAGCCATTTTGTTAGATCATCTCATTATTCAATACCAGGTGATAATTTGAAGGTCGATTTCGGTTGATTTTCAAGTATAAGCACATTCCATTCGAAAATAATCACAAAATAGCCATAAAGATGCTTCGAACAAATGCTGTCATATTAATATTAGCACTCAACCATCTAATCAACTCATCTGTCAAAAGAAAATCCGTAAATATTTAACATTGAAACCTTCAAGGACTATTAATCTACAAGTACCAAGAGAGAAAGCCCTAAAAGTATCATTAATAGCTTAAAAAACCTGAGTTTCCACCGTCAGAAACTAGACTGTTTGTGTACTTATGATTGTAATTTTATTATGTGTAGTAATCAAAAGGGATGGCAAGAATTTGGATATCTGAGAGAAAGATAAAGATTGAAATATTTTCAGGAGATCAAGGAAGATTTATCAGCACTTTTTGATTCAAAGCTTGAACTCTAAAATCTGAATGAAGCTTACTAATGGCCAGCAAACTTCATGCGCCGATGGTCATGAGGAGGCTGCCCTTGAAAATTTCAATCGAGAGGCTCGTTAAGCTCGACTCGGTAGGGGATGCGCGACTCTCCGGGGTTGCTACTGCAAGTTCGAAGCCAACAGCTCGAGGATGTATGGTTTTTTTTTGCTCTCGTCTGGTCTGTTGCTCCAGGCGAGGACGAGTTTCGGGCTCGTTCACGCATATGGCCATTGGCCAGCAGCAAAAGAGTTGTCTATCCGGTACAACTAAACGCCTACCCAAATCAATGAAATATGTCACATTTTGGCCGGACACATGATTCATAAACAAGGGAAGAGATCCTACATAACAAGACCATTAATAAGAAAAAAGCAAGGATCAGTATAATAAATCAACATACAAAATCAGAAGAGATCAAGACCTCATGAGGAAGCGATCCTCCTAACCTTTGCAAGGACTTGGCATTGCGAGGTCGAGGGGCTTGTGTTTAGACCTCGCGATGGTTGTCACTTTCAAGATCTCGCGAAGGTGTCAAATTGGCCCACCGCGAACCGAGTCCCGTCCAGAGATTACCCTCAAGATATGATGTTGGCCTTCAAATCATCCTTTACCACTTTCTCCCTCAAAATAGATGTAACTGAATGTTAGACATGTATCTTTGGTGAGTGAGAAGCCACCAAATTGAATAAAGTATCAGTGATCACCAAGATTGACATAATCAGAGAAAGAGATTCCCATGTTAAAGACAAAATCAAATTAAGAAAAAAAGGGAACAAATTGAGAATACTGATAAACTAATAAATATTTTCAAGGTAAAAATTGATTACGTTTTGATTCTAGAGGGAATGGAATTCAAGCTAGAAAAGGAGAACTCTGCACTGGAAAATGTGAAGGGGGGGTGATTTAGAAGATAGGTTAGGATTGAAAGGACTAGGTCATACATACATGCACACATCAAGCTGATGAAATACTCCCGATTTCAATCCCCAAGAGGTTCTAGATAATCCTTGTCAGTAGGATTAACGTGAATATAGATAAATTAAAATTCAAAAACAAAGATTATTGGAAAGAATCCTAGTAACAGAATACATAAATAAGTATACATTATATTTTATTTTGTGCTGGCACATATCCATCAGTGCAAACAAAGGGGGGGAAAGGGAGAAAAACAGAGAATGGGGGGGGGGGGGGGTAATGCTGTTATGTTTTGACTGGAAGTCTGTAATTGATGACACTCCTTTGAATTGATAAACTCAAGATACAAATGAAAATCGCTAATTCAAAAGCGCTTTGACTGTCAAGCTCTCCTAGCGTCCAATTCATTCAAAAGCGGGAGAATAGCTCCCAGTCAGATTTCGATCCCTTGGAATTTAAGGACAAAAATTAACAAGTCGCATGCTCACCATAAGAAAAAAACAACCGAGCTAGCGAAATCTCCTAAAGAATATTCCGGAGAATAAAATGAGAGTGAATGCCCAAGATCATCGCTCGGATGAAGGACCTTGATGGTTGTAATGTGAATGATAGTTTTTGCTACTCCCTTCCGGCGGATTAGAATTGAAAATGGATTGGTTGGGAACATAAGCCGAATTTGAGGGATTCCATTGTGAAGACGAGCTTCCCGACAGATGGTTAGGATTCGGTATCGTAGGAAGAAAGTGTCGATTTCCTCCAAGTTCCAGATTTTCTACTCGGGGTAAGCTCTGATGATTTGGCGGAAGGGCGGTCCCATAATGGTAACTTTGAGAGTAATCAGGTAGACTGGAGGGATGTTGCTTCGATTGCAAGTTATCGACAGAGGCCAATTGTGATTGCAACCTTAAAATCTTTTCTCTCTGTCTAACCTCAAAGTAATGGATTCAACACATCATTATTAAGCAATGTCAGACTTTCCTATCTTCGTGAAATTCAAGCCCCAAACGATTCAATCCAATTCTTTGCGTACTCTCTCCCAGATACTTCATGTTGAGTCACGCGTGCTTCTAAGGTGCTTATCTTCAAATCCTTTTGTCTCGCTGAGAGCTGAAGCCGCAAAGGACGCCAACTTGTCAGGTACCCTGCGCCGCCTAGACCTGTGACCAATTGATGCCAGCCGAATAAAAATAAGCTACTTACGTCGCGTCGTTCTCGGAAAGCTTTCTGGTGAGCTCTATTCTGCTCTCTTCGGCTCTACCAATTTCACAACAGACACGTAGTACCGACCGGTTTAGGCCTCTGTACAAATCATAAAATCGCGTGAGGATGATTCTGAGACACACATCGGTTATTTTACGTTTCCAGCGCTTTGTTGTTGGACTCTCCTCAGGGATCTCGAAGTGTGAGGAAGTACTGGCCACATTTCCGGGAAAGGAAGGCGCGGATGTGGGTCCGGTATCCCGAGACTGGACGTGTCCTGCGGGAAAAAAAGATCTTGTATCTGGTCAGTTTCTCCACGCCGCGCGGAATGATGTGACCATTTCAGGTCCAGCAGAAAGGGTTCTTTCAGCTTCCCTGCTAAGAAGAGAAAATTTATAGCGTACCATCCAAAACAGTGTTTTTTTGAGCTTGCGACCCCACACCATTTGGAGCCTGAGGAAAATTTGATTGTTTCTGATGGTTGCGCGCCTGATTAGACTTCCTCTTTGAGCTCGGAAGGGAAGTAGGGAATTGAGCACGGTGAGGCGAATTTCCAGGCAGAGAAGATCCGGCTTGATTGGCATCGGGAAGCACGGCGTTCAGCTGAGATTGCAAATAGGCTGAATCTGGATGGGAACCAAAATCAAATGCTGGATCAGGTCGATTAGCAGGGACATCAGACATGAATTCCCGGGAGGATTCTCCCGGGTAATCCAACGCCGTGGCTGAAGGGTAACTATTCTCCGGATGCTGATCATCATGTCCCGAATGACCGAAATCCCAGTGGTGACCGTAAGCCCCGGAGAGCTGATTAGGATTCTGTTTCGAGTGATCATTTCCGGGATCCTCCCGCTGCGAACCTATAGCAAAGCAAAGGGACAGTACATCGCCTTAACATGAGTCATCAACTCATCGGATCCCCCTCCCCCCCCCCCAAGAGCCAGTTTCGATAGGATTATGGTTTGCTCACTGAACGCATCCTCAACCGAATGCTGGTGCTGACCAAGTAGAGGAGGGTTACCCAAGCCAACCGAGAGATTCCCCTGCTGCTGTAAGCCCAGTAGAGCAAGAGGGTTTCCCGGCCGATTGAGGTGAGAAAGCTGATTCGGGGGTTGTTTCATGCTCAGGCGTGTTCAATCTTCTTGTGGTTGAGGTTTGTTTGATGAATAAGTAAATAAGTAAATAGTATATACTATGAGGGAGGCGATGCCCCAGAGTCGGGGTTGAGAGATACTCAAGCTTGGAAAAGCCTTCAAATCAACACAGTTGAGTATTTCAGAGGGAATTGAGAATGATTAGGAGAGGATGATGGGGTCGATAATGATGGCTTAATAGTCGAAGGGATTGGTTCTTCGGGAGTCAGAGATCAGCGAACTGGATGACCAACTGACTTGGAAACCTCTCAAATCATCAATCCCCCCCCTTACAAAGTTATACCTATATATATAGATACCCTCGCTGAGCTAGTGTAAGCCAGTGAGAGAGAGAGAGAGAGATAAAAAAAACTGAATTCGATTCGGAGAAATCGCTTCAAACGGAAAGCCAACTTAGAAGGAGCTCATCAACTGATTATCAAGCCACTCGCAATCAGCTTCATCGGCCAACGAGTCAGCAGTCAGCCAGTAATTTGATTTGACAGTTAGTTGCTTACGAGTAAGCATCACTCTCCAAATCAACCCATCATTTACTCAGCAGATAGTCTTCGAAGGATTGATTTCCAGTGGTCATTCATGGTCATCCGGGCAGTCAATCTTTTTTTTATCGGTTGGTTTCACCAACCAGACCACTTGATCACTATAGACTGATCATGATTCATCTGGGTGTATTCAGCCTCCAGACGGTAATCTTCGGTACCGCCGCTTCCGAGAAACCGTCGAGGAAAGAGCGAATTGAAGCCGGGTGCTCGAGTGCCGACAGTCATCAACAAGGTTTCGTGACTTTCAAGGGAGATGTGTATGTGTTCACTGCGAAGGGCTGAGTGTCGATCATTCGAAGGGGCAGTTTACGAATTGCCATGTGATGATCTGTCTGGATCTTGGGAATCAGATTGGTCAACAGCTGCCAGTACTAAGCCTTAATCCACTCCAGCTGTGTGATTCCTGGCCGGCTCCCTAAATCCAAAGATAAGCCGGATGGAAATCGTAACATGACGTCAATCGAAAACCAATAAGCCAAGGAGCGAGATCGACTTTGGGCATAACATAACCAATTCGTCACCACACTCATCATCCCTTCCCTTTGAAATCATGCAGCTCTTAACGTGGGTTCAACTACTCCAGTCAGCCCAAGCTACACTCTACATAAATCACCATCCAAGCTGAGCTGAGCAGGAAGCTGCCAAGGGTTGCGACGCCGAAGGTAAAAAGAAAAAAAAAATGCATGCGAGGGAGGCGGATTGTGAAGATGGGGTGATCCCCCGTGAGGGATGCCGACCCTCAAAAGTCAACCAATCCTGGTCAGGCCCCATTGCCAGGAGTCAGAGTCGACTGTACAGCCTACAGCTCTTGATCATCAAGAATTGGTCACACAGTCTGATGGACCGTTGCGGTCATCCAACCGCCAGCTAATGATTCAATCCATAGAAATCTCTTTTGGGCCCGTCACTCAAAAGAAAAGTTTTTCTCTTATATGCCCGTGTTGCTTTGCTCAACTTTTAAATACCCCGTAGATATTCGGGTTGATCAACAAGTGGCCGGTTAAGCGAGGAAAATGTGTTCAAGGGTTGTATCGGGTAGAGGGGCTCGTAGTGTACCATTGCTCGTCCAATTTTCAAAATCCATTTCTGCCAACTTTTTTTTGGCACTTTTTTCTGAACATTTCTCAAATCAATTTCCTCGAAGATTGCGTATGTCACACGTGACGAGGATATATTGACCTCCTAAGAATAAGTCTTTATTGATACAATACACAGATTCACTATGTGATCTGTTTGTTGGACTTAATAATAAACTAAACCAACACACGAGGATCGTTTGATTTTCCTACAGAGAGACTATATTCTTTTTAGAAGATTAAATGCAAAAAAGGAGGAGATGAAGATGATGACCATTGGTGACTGATGTGTTTCGGGCCTAAAAACACACTATTTGCATACTGGTAATTTCGTCTTGACTGGTCGATCTTTAGGAGTACAACAACTTTGTTCAATTCCAGCTTCAGTAGACGTGGCAGTCTGACGTAGCGGAAGAGAATTCAGTTTTCGAACAACGAGTATTGTGATTCCAGAAAGAGTTTTCTTTCAAACGTACGAAATGTGCGTCATCCTTCATTGGGTCTAAACCGGCCAATGCGGCATCTGCCCATCGACAGCAGACTTCCCACTGTGCGTCTCGCCGGAGGATCTTTAAGTCTTTACAAGTATTCAAACCATTGCGATCCTTACGGGGGTTGAGAACTGAGGAGGACCACATGAAGGATGGACATGGATAAGCTCATGTCAGAATACCCTCTATGCCTTACAGGGACAAAAATAATTCGGCAAATAGAGAGGCTTACTGAACCAGACGTCATCCTCTTTGGTTCCCGGCCCTCGTGGTCTTCGTCGATCCGCTGCCGTTATATTCCTCGCACAAAACGGAAGGCTTGTGCTACTGCAACCGAATTGACCATACACTAAATCAATTTGGAGAATGATAATCATGAACAGCCTGATCAACAAGGTGGGCAATTGGGTCATCGTAGACACAAGATTTATGGGGTTGACAATTTCCTGATCTGACTGAGATGCCGGAGAAATTTGCATGATGAAAACGCAAGTGAGGTTGCTTGATCATATGGGGAATTAAAACCCTACAAAACAAGCACCGAGGATTGAATTTACTTCCGGAGTGTATTAAGGGAACTTCCCTAGAGACTGCTACCACATTTCATATTCAAGCTGGCATTTGTCCGTTGCCTAGTACTACTTTGTTACCGGACTGGTCGGGTCATAGAAACCGCGGTTTAAACCCTGACCATAACATAGGAGCCGAGGAGAGAAAGAAACCGAGGAGAGCAGGAGAAATTTTCGAGTCGAAGGAAAACCAGAATGTTTGGTTTCAACTATCTGGACTTTCTTGCAAATATTTATATTTGTCTCTCCCAATCATTTTGGGTGAGATTTCAGTGCTCAATGGAGGCTTCATGTCCCCCCCCCCACCCCTCAACAAGTTGGGCTGAATACCTGATTGAACTTGAAGGAGTCCCTCCCAGAAAGCTGGTATTAAACACAGATTGCTGGGAGCTACCCCTCCCAGAAGGCTGGTGTTAAAACCAGCTTGTTGGGAGGAATTCCTTCCAATCCAGGGAAGGCTCATGTTGGATTAAGATAAATCAAACACTCAACTTGAGGTTGTTTTTATTGCACTGGGGGATCAATGATTTTTTTCAACTATATTCTAGCTGAGTGAGTATGTATTACATTTAGAACTGGAAATAATATGTTTGATCAGAAATTAACTGATGTGAGAGGATCTACATAAATCTACAAAGACTATCCTGATCTGATCATGCAGAATATACTGGGGCTGCAGAAAAAATAATTATGTGCTGAGTTTTGTTTACTATTTATGTGAATGAGAAGTGAATTGAACAACTCATCCGTTGAACTTGAGGAAACTGATCTGGTGACTTTAATAGTATTTTATTTTGAGTTTATAAATCTGATCAATGTTGAGTGAAAGATCTGGGAAAAGCAGTTCCCAAAATGGTGAAAAATATTAGAGATGGTCGACGGGTATCCATTGCAGATACCCGCTATCCGCTGGCGGATACCCGCCAATGCCAGCGGGTGCGGATGGCCCCTTTTCCACAAGATACTGGCGGGTATCCGGGTATCCCAAAGGATACCCGAGGCAGGAAGGGCAGATGGCTGGCTGGAAGGGTTTCCTTCCAGCCGGCAAGGTACATGTACCTCGTTGACCGGAAGGACACCCTTCCAGCCGTTGAGGTACATGCACCTCAACAGCTGGAAGGAAATCCTTCCAGTCAACAAGGTACATGTACCTCGTCAACTGGAAGGACACCCTTCCAGCTGTCAAGCTACATGTACCTTGACTGCTGGAAGGAAACCCTTCCAGCTGTCAAGCTACATGTACCTTGACTGCTGGAAGGAAACCCTTCCAGCCGGCCCTTTAAAGGATGGGTATCCGTGGATACCCGCTGCAGCCGACGGATACCCGCCAGCGGGTGTGGATGCGGATGCGGATGGCCATTTTGCCAGAAAAAGCAGCCGGATATCCGCATCCGCACTGATATCTGGATGTGGAGCGACCATCTCTAAAAAATATGTGAATTTCAGGTTCTTTATCAAAGTGAATTTTTGCGGATTTTGTCTGATTTTATGGTGACATCCAGACATTGGGAAGCCAGTACCATGAAATTTCCCCTGGTGAGACCTGCTAGTCCATGTGAAAGTGGGGGTGAGCCTGCCAAAAACAGTCCAATCCATCCCCGCTCTGCTGGAGATGCTCTCAGGGGGCAGCTTTTGGCCAAAATCTCAGGGCCCACTAGTGAAACTGGGGAATTGTGCTAAGTTAAAGTGTTTGGGTGGTAGAGGTGTATTGTATGCATACATCATGGGGCGGGTTTTTAGAAAAAAAAAACCAGCAGCCGGATGGATTCCATCCCGAGCGCCCGCAAATTAGTCGCAAAGCATCCAACAGACGCTCGGGCGCGCCTGGAATCATTTGGACGTTTCAGAAAGCGTTCAAGGGATGCTCGGCAGGCAAGACCATCCAGAGGATGGTGTACTGCCCGGTGTCCATTAATGGACACTTGATTGGGAGTGCCCAATGGACAACAAAAAAACCATCAATCGGACACTTCTCAAAGTGTCCAATTGATGGTTTTCACCAGGGTCCGGCAGTTGAAAAAAAGGGTTGATTGTTGAAAAATGATCTTAAAAGGTGGTGGATGGTTGAAAAACGAGCCAAAAATGCAACACGGGGTCTATAGGTGATGTTTTGCCCAGTCACCATCAAAAAATATTGTATAGTCAAGTGGTAAGGTACTGCATCATTGAAATCACTAGTAGCAGCTCTCAGTACCTGTGGGTCATGGGTTCGGGGGTTGATAAGCGCACACCAATCTGAATGCCAATCTGCAGCAAGGTTCATTGGCATAGATTGGCGTGCAGGTCCTAAACCCATATTAGTATGGGTTTAGGACCAGTTCTATCACATAGGACCCAGGCATGGGTCCTATGGGATGGCCTACATATAAGAGTTTGAAAAAAAAAACTGTTGATCCTTGTAGGACACCGGGGGGTGTCCTACAAGGTTGACAGCTGGCTGGCAAGGTTGTACAACCTTGTCGACCAGGAGGGAATCCTGGCCAGCAAGGTTGTACAACCTCCTCGCCGGCCAGGAGGGAATCTTACTGGTTGACGAGGTGGTACATCCTGGCCGGCGAGGCTGTACAACCTCTTTGACCAGGAGGGAATCATCCTGGCCGGCGAGGTTGTACAACCTCTTTGACCAGGAGGGAAAGCTTGTCGGGAGGGGTTACTCCCGACGAGCTGCTTCCTATACCAGCTCGTCGGAAGGAACCCCTTCTGACGAGCTGGATTATGTACCAGCCTTGTCGGGAGGGGTTCCTCCCGGCGAGCTGCTTTTTATACCAGCTTGTCGGAAGGAACCCCTTCCGATGAGCTGGATTATGTACCAGCTCGTCGGAAGGAATCCCTTCTGACGAGCTGGTTTGAACCAGCTTGTCAGAAGAGATTCCTTCCGACGAGCTGGCATGTACACAGGCTCGCCGGGAGGTGTTCCTCCCAGCGGTGTGACCTCGGCCTCTATAGGCCAAGGGGGTTTGAAAAAAAAAACAATGGCGGGGCCGTCCCATAGGACCCATGCCTGGGCTCTATGGGACAGCCCAGGTCAGGCACGCCAGCCTGCAGGGTATACCCCTTGCAGGCGAGTGGTGTGCCTGCCTGCATGCCATTCTGCAATGACTGAAGATTGGCGTGCGCTTATCAACCCCCCATGGGTTCAAGCGCAATACCTGGCATTTTTTTGTCCCCCAGGGCTTCTAATCCTACCATCCAATGGATGGTTTGGCACTACCATCCGGCTTCAGCAAAATGCAAGTTGCATCCAATGGATGCTCCTTGCAGGGCCAAAGTTGGATGGCATTTGGTACATCCATTTGGGTGTCCAAATGCCATCCACCACGCCTGGTGTTGTACTAAAATGGGTGTTCCCAACCTGTGTTTAGTGTATGGGTTAGTAGGACCCACATGCTATAAACATGTTCAAATTCTCTCAAAAAGGAAAATATTTATTTTAGCTGGGGAAATCCTTATTTTTTACTGCAGTGATATGTTGGTGATGTGTGAGATAATATCTGTGACCTTTTGCAAGATGTTGGGAACATTTTGTGAAATTTCGGTGATATGTGAATTAGTATGTGTGACATGTTGTGAAATATTATCAACATGTACTGAAATATTGTTAACATGTTGTGAAATATCTGGGGCATGATATGAGATTTTGATACATGCCATGAAAAATCTTTGTAGATTACCAGAGCGTAGCGGGAGGTTACGGGTCCAAAAAGGATAAGTGGCCTGTTGGGATATCAGCGGACTTAGTGTTGGAATTTCATCACTTTCAATTCTCATCCCTAAAAAAATTCATTGATCTCTCCTTAAAAGTAACAATGATTAGATAAATAATACAATTAATTCTACTATTGTTTTGATGGTTTCTGTGGGGTATCTGATCATGTTGTCCAGTGCTGCAATCCTTGTAGTCTTTATTGACTGCCTTTTATTCCAGTCATCCTTTCAAGCATACACCACGGGCTCTGGTGGACGAGTGCTTGACAGAAGCGGTTCCGTCAGCTTGACCCATGCCGCCCCGACCAATAATTTGGGGTGCTTCATAGCGGGGGGCATAATCCCCCCCAGTCGGCTTGACCATTCAACGTCGGCTTGCCAGCGGTTGCAAGGCAAGCTTGCGGCGGCTTGACAGGATTATGTCATCTTGACAGTTGCTGCACAGCAGCTGACTGCAGTAAAAAAAAACAACTTATGTATCTTGGGGCTTGAACTCCCTACCTGTACTCACACCATCTTCAGCTCAATGCATGATGATGTGGCAGGAGGGCTTATCCAACTATGGCAATCATGATGTCATACTAGTGTGGCTTGGTTTTGCATATAGATAGATATAAACTTTCAAATTACCTATAAGATTTTTTTGTCTTGAAGTTTTTTTCTTCAAGTTTTTTTTTTTTCTTTTCTCCATTTTTTTTTCTTGAGGCAGCCAGAACTTTTTGGACATGAAAAGGATGTAGAAAAAATCTTGAAAAAAAAAGTTTTTTCAGACATGGGGTTATGCCGACGGTGGGACTTTTTGACCCTGAGGTCAAGCCAACATTGGAATTGCGGCATTCCTGCCCAAACTTGACGTTGGCCAGACCAATCCGGCGGGATTGCGTAAAAGAGGTTAAGGCTGACCGGTGCTTGACCGCAGGGTCAAGCCGACGGAGTGCCATTTCCAAAACTCAACCCGTGGTGTATGTTAATTTTTGTTATTCATTTTGATATTCAATTTTTCTCACCCACATTTTAAACCTCTTGTACATAGACTACTTAACACCTAGTCTCTTCTAAGTAAAAAATCGTTGGTTCTTTCCCTCATTTTTTGACCCACTGAGCCGTTCCAACAAAACTATTTTTGTTGCCCAAAAATCTTCATCCAAACACATTCTCTCATCCTATGGTCTTAGTTTCTTCACTTAGCAGATGCTGAGACGCCCCCCAATAGCAAAGACAACCTATTCCCAACTGGGACTAGATGAATACAGTGTCAGCATGTGTTTGCCTCAATCAGGTCAATTATTTCTGCCCGGATTGCACCATGGTCTCCCTCTTGTGAACTGGCCGACTCCCCCTCCAGGCTCTCTGCAACATTGCTCCATCACTTGCACTCATACAAAGAACTCACTCCTCCTATCTATTTTTCCCTCCAGGCAATTCCAATCCTAAACTCTCTACTCTCTATTAATTTTTCTAAAATACCCACCCGCCCTGGGTCTGAGATTGTACCCCCTTGCACGTAAGGCAAGGAAAATTATTTTTGTTGTATATATATGGGGCTTTTCCTCCCTGTTCAGGTCTTTTGGACGTCCCAACCATTCCCTGGGTGGTCGTGGCCAACGTGACTGACCCCAGAAACAGGGGAAGGCCCCTGCTCCCAACCCTCACTTAGCAAGCTTGGGAAGCACTTGTGTTCCTGGTCACAGCACAGATTGACATGTTTGAAAAGGCTTGAAACAGATGAACATTTCACAATCTATCACAGATATTTCACAACATGTTCCCAATAATCTTTAACCTGTCAAGGACATTTCTCAAAATGACATTAACCTGTCAAAGACCCATCACAACATTCCACAGGCCTGTCACATTACCTCACAGACCTGTCAGAGGTATTCACTACATCTTTCAAATTCCAGCATTTATCAACATGTCACAGACATTTCACAACATGTCAACAACATTCATGATTCCACAGCATATCACTCAAATTATTTCACATATCACCCACATTTCACATGTCCCCAACATTTTGCAACATGTCACAGATCTTATCTCACATATCACCAAAACTTCACTGCAGTAAAAAGTAAGGATTTCCATAGCTCAAATTATGAAAAAATATTTTTTGGCAAATTTGAACATGTTTGTAGTGACAGGTGGTGGACTGGACCTGCACAAGATGCAAGCACATCTTCTTGTCTCTTCAGGATTCACTTCAGCCTTGTCTGTACTTTTTCCAGAAATTTTGAAGTAGGAAAAGATTTCTTTGTATCTTCCTTTTCTTGATCCATCCCCAATGAACCGGTGAATTACATCACAGTAGCAATCAAGATATCCTGGGATGTTCTCAAAACTGTGGTGTAATACATGTGTCCAAGCAACTGCTGAGACAGCAAGGGAATGTCAGGGCTTCATTGCTGGTGTCAATGGAACCACCTTTTGACAATCTTCAACCCTTGATGTCCTACATTGCCACCTTGCATTTTAAATTATATTGACCTCCTAAGCATACTTATTGATTGATACAATAGGGGGCTCACAATTGAACTTGCAGGCCATTTTTAAAGTATTTCTGATCACAAACTCACAAGTATTGTGGTGTGGACAGAAAGTTCAGATATCACTAAATCTAATTTTTTCTTAAAAAATACAAAGTGTTGCTCATAAACACCTTAAAAATGGCTCTATTCAATCATGAACCCCCCCCCCCCTCCCCTGATGCAAAGATCCACTATGTGATGATCTATCTGTTGAACCAAATAATAGCAAACAAACACACAAGAATTTCTTGATTTTCCTACAGAGAGACTTTTTTTGAAGATCAAATACATACATAAAAGCAGGAGATGAAGATGATGGTCATTGGTGACTGATGTGTTAGAAACATATTGGGCCTGAATAAAACTATTTGCATACTGGTAATTTTGTCTTGACTGGTCGATCTTTAGGAGTACAACAACTTGTTTGAAGACCATGTTCAGTAGAACGGGCCGTCTGTAGCGGAAGAGATCTTAGTTTTGGAACAATGAGTATTGTAATTTCAGAAAGAATTTTCTGTTAAACGTACGATATGTGCGTCATCCTGCATGGGATCTAAACCGACCGATGCGGAATCTGACCATCGACAGCAGATTTCCCACTCTGCGTCTCGCCGGAGGATCTTTAAATCTTGACAGGTATTTAAACCTTCGTGATCCTTACGGGGGTTGAGAACTGAGGAGGATTTCAAGGATGGACATGGATAAGCTCATGTCAGAATACCCTCTATGCTTTAAAGGGACAAAAATAATTCGGCAAATAAAGAGGCTTACTGAACCAGACGTCTTCCTTTATGGTTCCCGGCCCTCGTGGTCTTCGTCGATCCGCTGCCGTTATATTCCTCGCACAAAACGGAAGGCTTGTGTCACTGCAAGCAAATTGACCATACACCAAATGAATTTGGAGAATGTTAATCATGAACAGCTTGAAGAAGTTGGTGAACCGAATCATCGTAGCTAAATATGGGATATTATGAATGGGGGGACGTAGTAAATTTCGTGATTTTGCTTGATGGCAATGTCGGAGAAATGTGTGGTGCATCATGCTCAGAGATCACTTGACTATATTGGGAACTCAAACCCTTGAGTCAACTGCCCGAAGATGACCTCGACTTCAAGGATGTACATAACACAGAACTTCCCCAGAAGGGAGATGACCATGCTGCACATTCAAGTGGCGCTCATGTCCGTTGCCTATGCACACTTTACCTGGCTGGTTGCGCCATGGAAACCGCACTGAAAAACCTGACTATGTATGTATCTATGTACATATGCAAATATATCATCTGACTATCGGGAAACGATCTCCGCAGAGGTCAGTGCAAGGCCCGCTCGCCACCGGGCCACCGGGCGGACAAGCCGGAGGAAGAGTTCGGAACCTCTTCTCAACTTGTGTGAGCAGCTCGAGTCGCAGTTGCAACACCGCCGCTCCATAAGGCTCCATATGTAGACCCCCACCTGGGCTCGCGCTCTGTACGCGACCCAATGAACGGGTGGCAACGGCTTGCATGGTTTCGGCACATAGCCACTTTGCACCGATGGCGTTTTGGAGGTTCTTGGCAATTAGGGACTGTGTGGTACGATGCTTTGTATAACAAGCACGGAAGGGCTCCCCGAACTGACCCAAAGCAGACGAATCACGATCATCAGCGAAAAACTTGCAGCCATCCGGTGCAGAGAGAGAGGTATGTTCGGATCGCGAATCCCCACTATATATTGGGAGTTCAACTCTTCCGTCCCCAGCCAGATAACTCTTTTGCCAAACTGCTTACACAAAACTCCCCACACCGATATACTTTATAAGAACATTTAGCCAAGTCTAGATACACACATAGAAACATCATGAATCTCTCTATTTTTTTGGGAATCCCGATGGTACTCTTTATACTCCAGCTCCAAATGTCTTTGGTCGATAGCTCTTGGGCCGATCGCCTGTCATGTCAAAACGCGGCTCCCAACTTTCCAAACGCTGGCTGCGCAAAACGCTTGAGAAAGGTAACTCAACCAGGGGCACCTTGGGCCTGGTATTGGGAGATAGGTAGTTAGTCGTTTTTACGCTGCAATAATAATACTTGATCAAGACAAGTGTGCTTAGGAATTGTCCTTTTCTTAGTAATTCCTCCGCCTTGGAAAACGGACCATTATGAATGCACACAAGAAAGCACTTATACAATTAAAGCATGCTGTTCACCCAAGGTGGTAAGTCACCAAAGATTATTCATATACATGTGATGTGCAACGCCCACTAACTTTCAATTGATCAATCTTGAAACATTCAGGAAGCTCTCAAACCCGGGGCTGACTCCTGGATCGCTGGGATTTGCGTCAACCCAGAGGGTCGCCCACTAAAACTTTAGTCAACATCAAAGCGCACCCAACAAATAGAATAAGCTTCCCTCTTTCACCGCATTTTGCTCATGTATTTATGTTCCCTGTTCTCACCAAGCATGTTGACTCATGAAAATTATCAAACGGTGCAAAATTCGAGAAAAATGACGAAACGTATAGCCTTGAAAAAACTTGAACTATTTGTCTGGGATGAATTTCCGGTGGCCTTGAAGTAGGACAGGGCCACCTAAACTTGACACAGTCCCTCATGACTTCATGTCTCGATGAAGGGGGCTTATGTAGCTGACCTCACAACCAGCATTGCTTTGTGAGTAAATTGTTCAAGTATAGTTCGCAACAGGAGGGACTTTCCTACACCTTGAGCTTAACAACGTCCCTCGGCGAGAGAGCCCGAGAGGGTCTCAGTCTTGCAGAGGTCGCACTTCGTGCGAGGCTTAACTTAACCGGACGGTCGGCACAGGCTACGGGCAGGCAGCTCCTCTGCGATTCCAGAGGGACTGTTGAGTCAGGCTATCAACCCTGCGCGGTCAAGTAGGGTGGAGTGGTGAAAGACTGACCGGCGGTCGCATTCTTACTTGAGTTATGCTGGTGAGCTGGAGTTGCTTCGCACCCTTGCCTGCCGGCCGGTGAGGGACGAGTTTAGTGTGAATTTCGGTGACGCCTGGTTTCCGCCCTTTATCACCCAGAGCTGGACTGTAGTGTCTCATCAAGTGGTGATGACTGGCCATGAGCCGTTGGTGTGTCAGAGCGAGATACCACACAACCCATGTATTTCAACTTCGTCCAGTCATCTTGAGACTCGATGAAGGGTCATTCATTCACATCGGCCGTTCGCAACCTGCAAAGTCCCCTGATCAGGTCAGATCCCCTCGGCGGGTCCCGCACTGACAACGCAGAAGGAGGCAGAAGGACGCGGTGAAGCTCGCAAAAAATGAAGATCAAAGTTCTTATGCATGTATATTGTCTTTCAATCCATTCAGTGGTATCCCGCTGCTTACGGTTGACAGTTGCTGATTATGCGGGGTTATGGGATCATGTCGAGTCGGTATGGAGCTCGTGCGGAGCTTCCTATCTGCTGCCCTTGCAGAAACACTTCACACCTTCCAGATACACTATACATCCAGATTATAAAAGCGCTCAATACGTTGTCTTCGATTTATGTACTTGAAAGCATCGGGTCACTTCAAAGCATCGATTCTTTTCCTGTCAGAGATCCTCCCTGCCCAGGCGTTAACACCGGTGTTCTCCGCTTGATCTCATCCGATCTCTTTCACTGGAAACTTAAAACAAGACAAAAATGGGTTTCTCGGTCTATCTTTTCCTCTACCTGGCCGCTATGCTGACCGTGATCCGAGCGCAATTACTGCCATCTTCAATCTTGTGTGCACCTGCTCGCGGACCCCTGATCACAAGAGACGACTGCAAGAAGTGAGTGCCCGATTCATGAATAATAATTGCTATAATCACTCTCGTTGGTTGAGGGTGGGGCGTGCCAGGGACAAAGATTAACGAGATCTTCACCAATCTGTATTTTTTAGGAGCTTGCACAGATTTTCCTCTGAGAGTAACGTCATTTTCTGGAGTCGCGAGGTCAACTTCTACTCTTGCGGAACATGCAAGGTAGACGGCAAAGGAGAAAAGCTACCTGTTACTGAACAAAGCTGACCATTGATTCTGCTTTGCTGCAATGTAATATTATCAGCTTATCATAACTAAACCCACTTTACCCCGCTCAGTCCATCATGCCGCGTAAGTTATTGACATTTGTTTTGTCTGTTAACTGTGTTTACAAAATGGCTTATACAATGTCCAAATTTTTGTTCAACAGAGTCCATGGAGATGCGTTAACTGCCATGCATCTAGGCATGGAAAAGTGTGAGGGTAAAGTAAGTCGAATTTGTTAATCCACATTTTAAAGCTACATGTGAGATTCTTACACTTCCTGCTTCCTACGGAAACTTCAGCCAACTAACGCGACAATTGGTAACTCTGAGCCCATTTCCGTGTTGTTGGACCATGGTAACGGGGAGAAGTGCCCAAATTGGTAGAAAATTGGCTTTCCAGAGGAGGGTTGATGTCTACACACTTGTTCTTCGATTTACTTGAACCCAATCAACCGACATCCTAATCATCAGAGATTGTCACGTTTTCACTCCCTGCTTTGAGTCACTTCTTTGGGAAACTTTTGTCAGTTTCCTGCTCAAACCCACATTGAAAGCTAAGGCCTTTCAGCTAGACACAAAAAGCTCAGAAAATGTCTGTATGGGAAGGAACATCATCGTGTGAGAGGTGCAATGTGGTAGAATGAGAAAAGCTGCAGAAATTGGGAAAAACACTGCAGCCAAGCGTGTTAAGGTGTTTTTGCAACTCCATTCCTTCTTGTTTTTTCTTGTTGCCACATCTTCACTTTCCCTCAAACCTATTGAGAACCTTCCAGTCCATCCAGGGCTTCCATCTCATAAACTTTGGATACAACTGTGGCTCTTTCAGAAATTTCAGAAACTCATGAGAAAATTTGAGGGGAAGAATTGAATGAAATCATCATGAATAAGATGTGCATTTTGCACATTTCCCCCTTATTATCAAGATTAGATTGGAAATGGAAGATTTGTTTTGAATCAAAAATGGTCATAAATTGTGGTAAAAAAGGCAATCATAGGTCTTGAACATCCAAGTTCTCAGAACTTATCTTCCTCAAATTCCCATATTGTCAAATATGACCATTGTAAATAGATAGCTTTTGGCCTAAAATTGAAGAATCTCAACAGCAGATCTCTTGACTGGTTTTCAATATTTATGTAGAAGACAGGAAAAATGATAATTTTTCAAAATTGAATCCCATGGTACAGGCCCTAAATGTGTTTTTTTTTCTATAAGCACCCATGTTCTTGCATGAACAAATGTGAATTAGTAAGTAAACTATAAAATGACTCCCAGACATGTGATGCATGAAACAGAACATTCAAATATGAATTTTCTGATTTCCATTCTTGAAACAAATTCTCAAACTTTTCTTTGGGATTATTTTCCTCATCCCACCAGTTATGTTCTGAGTACATGGTCACTTTTAGATCAGTATCTTTCTCCAATGCAAATTGTTTAAAATGCTTCACTTCATAACTTGAAAGTTCTGGATGCAAGGAATTGATCATTTCTTCCACATGGCTATTTTATAAGAATTGAATTATCAAATTTCTGTGCTTCAGTCTAAAATGTTTTCTTATCATAATATTAATTTTGGAAAGATACACACAGTAAGTTTTCCTCTATGTCCCATGCAGATCTGAAATCTGTGGAATGTTCATTGGGTGGAATATTCAAGCCCCAAAAACTTGATAAAAATCACAAAGGCAAACAACTTAAAATCAATTTTTAGGTCTTCAACAAAACTGAAAAAGTGAAAATTTACCTTGGGGGAAGAAAAATTGTTTTCATTCTATTGAAACAGCCAATTCCCCCATTGAGTTTCCTAAATGAGGCAATCATTTTGAAAGATGACTGGTTTGAACTAAGCTTCTTCAAGGATTGTGGATCAAAAGGAAAAAATTGAACCAGACCAACACTGTCTGACTTATCTTTCTTTTGGCTTCATCCCCGAAATCCCGTGTTGCCACCATTTTCAATGCTTTTACACGGATTATCCTATTATTTGGTAGTTTTAAGGTCAGTCACACTATTTGTGGTGAGAAATAGGTACTCTTTCACAATGTAAAGTGGGCTTACATGTCATAGTCTTCTTTTGATTGATGCACACTACCCACTTCATTTTTAACATCTCTCAAAAACCTTGAATAAACATGAGAAGGTGTGTGAAAAAAGTGAGCAAATGTGAACATTGAGGTGTTCAAATTGAGTTACATAGTTCTTCACATGATCAAATCATCAATGCACATCAAATTTATCTTCATGAAAAATTGGATTGCAAATTGAAATTTGCATGGAAATAAACATTGAACTATGCAACTCAACTTTGAACACCTTCAGTGTTATACAACAATTGGTGGATAGGATTTCCTACATACTTTTTTACTTCAGGGTATAAATTTCCTTGAAGATCAACATAAGTTTTTGAGTGCTCATTTCCATCTAAATTGCTCCAAGAACCTTGATTGGGGGGCATGGTATGGGCTAGCTGGTTGGAGGTGGGCCTTGGTGTGCCAAATTCAGATGCTCTGTGACCCCCACTCCTATTGTGTGGGTTGGATAATCAATTATTCACATTGAAAGCATTTTCAAATTTTATCAAGTTGATAGCATCTAAATCATTGAAATTGGTTTCAAGTTACATCACCATACTCACTCATCTTTGAATATCTCTGATGTGCTTCTGATGGACACCAAGACCATCACAAATTATAGAAATTAATTAGCTACTGAAGTTGTTGGCAAAATTTCACACAAGTTACTTACCTTAGCTTGGTTGAGCTAAAGAAATCAATCAAGAAAAATCAAATGTTTGCGCCAATTGAGGTATAATAAGAATTTATTTGCTTTGCAGGTATACACTCACATTAATGGAGTTGATTCAAGATTATGTGTGCGCTTTGATAAGTTTCTACCAGAGCCTTGTGCCAGGGTTTCCACAAAAAGAACAACAACTGCAACACAGACAGCCAAGGAAGGAGAAATGATCTGCATCTTTGGCTTATTTTCAAGCTTTCTTTTTGAGTGGGGGTCAAGTGAAAAAAGGGATTTCAGAAAAGCCTTGGTAGTGAGTCAAGGTGGATGAGATGAGTGAGAAGGCCAATTGAGAGATGGCTGAGCTCTGGAGTGGAATCAAAGCATTTGCTTTCAATGTTTCATCCATGAAAAAGAGACTTTGCTTCAAAGATATTTGAAACTTGCAAGACACACTGTAGGGTCTGTAACGTTTGGAGGCTCTCTGTGGGGCAGCATCCCTGCTGAAAATTCAGAGGACTGACATAAGTTAGGTCCTGTTAGGACCATGTCAAGTCCCCAATTATTATCAATCCAGTGTTTAGGATACCATATTTTGAGGTCATTTAGGTAAGCATAATCAACAAATTAGGCAGCTTACAATTTTTGATACAAATATAATATCTATGACTAACCTGGGGAGAAGGATTTCCCAAATTACTGCACTCAATAAAAGAGCCAGCTTCTGTGGCCTGGAAAAGGGTTTCAACTTTGTTAAGCTGGCCAACTCACCAATCCTAAAACTTGTTTCAAAAGTTGTCAAGGGTGCAATTATCAATCTCCTGTTCTTTCCAAATTTGAAGCTCAAAGGGCTGTTGGGTTTCACAGGTCTGCTCAAGTATGCTAAATAAATTCAGTTCACTTGTCAAATGGATTTCACTAGCCTTGTAGTATACCGGTGGTGTGGAAGCATCCCATTTCCTGATCCTTCTACATCATTCACTGCTATCCTGGGTATGGTCCTTTCATTCTTTCTGATTCTTTCCTGTTTTTTTCTTCTGTTCTGTTCTGTTCTTGTTTTTATTTCCTTTTCTCATCTTGTTTCACTCTCATAATATCACTAGTGTGCTTCATTATCCTCCCACATCATTCACTGATGTACCAGACTTGTGTACCCTTATCATCTCATCATGAGGGGCCAGTTAATCAATTTGTGCCAGTGTCATGCGGGCTCCTGGGAGAAAATCATAGGACAATATTTAAGTATATGGAAAATCCTCCATAAATCTGCTATTGTACCTTGGTAGGTTCTTTACAGTCTCCTTTTCAGGAGGGTATACCACACAAAACCGGTATGAATACCCCTTAACAAAATCCAGGTTTTTGGTATCCCCTCTTCATAGGGGCTTTGCATGGTCCTCTGCCCATTATTCAAAGCAACAAGATTTTAGAGAATTCAGACCAGAATTGAAAAAAAAAGTGAGAGTTATCAATCTTTAGGTGGACTTTTTGCATAGTATAATTACCTATTTAACAACAGAGCCAAAGCCCCAAACCTGCACAACTCTCAATTTATAAATCTCACCACCCCAATAGTCCAGAAGATTGCACTCCATTGAAGCTAGAATATCCAAGAGCCATTGGCTTGAAGTGGTTTCCCATCAATCACAGGTGATTATAAATATGAATATTAGCAGGTGTGTGTGCTTTATTACACAAGTGTAACATATTTTATCAAAATTACAGTGTCATTAGTCCAACAGTGACCCATTACGCAAAGAGATAATTTCCAATAAATGAGCAGAGTGCAGCAGCCCAATGTTTTCCTAATCCATAACTTGGTAATGCATCTAGAATTGAACAGTTAGAAAGAGCAAGTCCAAATTTTCAACTCAAATTGGCCTGATTAAATTTGATTCTTGCTGCACCACAATTTCTGAGGCAAATTTTTCAACTCAAATTGGCCTGGTTAAATTTGATTCTTGCTGCACCACAATTTCTGAGGCAACATCTTTTAAGTCCCAGCTGATAGAGGCTGACTTTGGAAGCTGAAATGGCAGCCCACAGCCAGGATGTTGCGCTCAGATTGAAATATATTCCAGGGTATTTGAAATTAGAAAATAAATTAATCAATGTTTTTGGTTTCAACTCAAGTGTTGAGTCCTGTCCATTTGTTGCAATGAACTAGGCCAGACAGTGAGTTAGTGGAAGGATGTGATTCATTGCATACTTGAGAGAGAAGGAAGAGAAAGATGAGAAAAGAAAACAACTGGACTTACCTAGGCCAGACAGTGAGTTAGTGGAAGGATGAGGAAATGAGCCTTCCACGTGCACACTGCTGACCTAGGTCGACTACCTACATGGGTTTCACAGATGTGTGACACCTGAGAGAAAGGTTGGAAGCAGAAAAGAAAAGGAGAGAAGAAAAAGGAAAACAACGCCTCACGTGATACTCCAACACCATTGACAGCTATAGCACAAAAGCATGTAGTTTTTTCAGATTGTTTCTATGGATGATAGCAAGAACAAAAAGTACAACTTGATCAGACTGAATACCCAGAGACAAATTCAAGATGTGAGGCAACCAACAAAACATATTCAATCAATATCATTCACTTTTCATTTTGCTTGTTGAGTGAGAAGATATGAACACTGGCTTTTTTTAAGATCACATACATCACAACACACAAATACATATGCACATACATACATATCTATTAATCTATCTGAAGAAAAAAAAAGAAAGAGAAATGAAGACAGTCTTGGTTTTATGTAATGTCTACTTGAGCTTAAACAAAAACAAAATAAATAAATAAATAAATAAATAACTTACGTTGGATGAGCCAATTAATGAAGATTAAGAAACAAAATAGAGAACATGAATTGTTCAGTAGTAAACACACAAATATATGTATAAATATATCAATACTCTGTTTTGACGTTATTTCAATCTTTCTAACACTCATCAATCTTCACTAAGGACCTATTCCCACAACAACATCTCTTTTTCTATCCCTCTATAGCTAAGCCTGGAAAAGTTTTCGCTCGACATTCTCTATTAGTATTAATATTATATCTTTTGATTGGGTGTTATTTCTGTGAGTTTCTCAACTAGAGAAAATCCCATAGATCTTAAAAAAAGAGAAACAAGAATGTTAACACATTTTCATTGAAAGAATTCAAGAAAATCGGGATGGGGAATACACACTTTAAACTTGGCCTGATCGCCCGGCTTGCCTTGCAACTCACAGACCACATAGTGTGATCCTTTTCCAACGCCTCGATCGACTTGAGAGATCCTATGAAAGTAGAAGACATCCCAAGAAGAAAAAAACAAATGAGTGAATGATCAACCAAACCGCTCGTGTAAGATAATTCAGATTCTAGTGAAAAAATAAAACAAAATCAAAGTAGAATATACATACACAGGTTTTGCGTGATCTTGGTCCCAAAATCCAGGGATCTCAACTGCCCCAGCAACATTATCATCAACCCAACATTTGACAGTACCCCAACCGTCTTTCTTAGGGCCTTTCTGATAGTAGACCGCGATATCACCACCGGAGACTTTCAGAGGGATTTTGATGAGACTTCCAGGTTTCTCAGAGAACCAATAATGACGTTCGTCTTCGGCATCGAGTTTAGGAGCGACAGGGGACCAACCGGAGTTAATGAAGACGGATTGCGGGAGGGGGTTGATGAGATCATTGGCGGAAGCACAGCTGGGTTTGATCTCTCTAAAGCCCGCCAAAGTGTGTGGCTTGTCGTGGATCCGATAGGCTGGCACTTTCGAGTATCCCGCTTTGGCGGTCTTTGAGAGCCCCAGAGTTCCACTCGATTCATCGCTCCCTTCGGCTCCTGGCTCGGAGCCCTTACGAAGCCCTTTTCCACCCAATAGACTTGGGGCTGTGTTTGCTTGAGAACCGCTCATCAGTGATGCATCTCCCAGAACCGGGGGCGACAGTCCTGCTAGATCAGCCTCAAGTGCTGCCTCGTCCCACACTACACATATCTCGCTCTCCAAGAATGAGATTACTGTGTCCGCCAACAGTTCATGCCCTTTAGCATTTGCAAGCACCGGGTCAATGAAGTACGACTGTGAAACTTTCTCCGGATTCGCGAGATACTCCTCGTAGAGTAGGCCTTTGACCCTATCAATTCATAACACCGATCAGACGATCAGTTTTTTTTAAAAAAAGCAAGAGTGATGTATCTGTGCACATACGTCAAATGAGGTACATCGTAAAAGTGGGCTACGGCCGAATGCCAGACCTCGGGCCCAGTGAATCCGTGTTCATTTTGGAACTGAGGGGCGAAGTGTCCCAGTAAGATTACTGCTGGTTGATCAGGTCGAAGGAGAAGCGATCGGATGAGCAGATCAGTGGTTGAGATGGTTTCAGGTTCACTTTTGGAATTAAAAAAATGATTAGTTATTGTTCAAATTTACGACAAGGAGCCATAATAAGGCTAACTCACTGTGGATCCTCAGTGTCAAATTCTACAATTACCAAATCCACACGATCGGGAAGATGCATGGCAGAGCAGAATCCGTAGTAGGCTGTTCCTGTTCGGCGCACTGAAAGAGGAAGCTTGACATGTTAATGACCCAAAGTGAGAGGGGCAGAGTTAATGGCAGGAAGATGTACTGACAGGCGCCATTGGTGAGTTCGTTGGCCGGATGAGGAAAGACGTCGTTGAGCCAGGTGAAGATTCGGTGAGGATAGCAGTTTGGGCCGATAGGGTTGCCTAAGGGATGGGCAGCTGTAGCGTCGAGTCCATGGCAGCTGGAGATGGAGCCGCCAAGGATGCCGATGGTGATGGGCAAGCCGGCCATCGCGCGTCTGATCACCCTACGGATCCTATCGCTCGAGCCGACGTGGGTACGAGTCTTAAGCAAGGCCTGGGAGCCGTAGACCTGCCCAAGCTCATCGGTTTCCCCAAAAGTAGGACAGAAGGTGAATGGGGCCAGGTCGCTGAAGTTGGCCGGCCCGAGCCCCCCGGGCGAATTCGAGGCGCCCTGGAGTAGCCGTTGTCTCCGGGCTGAAATCAGATAGGCATCCGTCCGACGTGAGCCCGCCGATCTAGTTGCGAAACCCGGCAGTGGTCCGATAGGCGAACCAGACCAACTGATGAAATGGATAAGGATGAAGATCGAGCTCAAGATGGCTAAAACGATGAGTAATCTTCTACGCGACTGGAATCGAAAACAATGTGATCAGTTACCTGAGACTGAGCAGTCAACAAGGAAGAAGAAGAATTGTTTCCCTTACGAGTAAACTGGTCCGAGAATGGAGTGGTGACCTTGGGCTGATGAGTGTTGCCCTCGAGGGTGAGGTTGAAGTTCTCGAGTTGACGGTTGGGATAGATGAGCTTGATGGATGACGCTTGTGCATGGTCAGCTTGTTAGAGAAGAGGTTGACTGATCGCTTGACTGGTTTTCTCCGGAAGAGTTAAGTGAGTTCACAATGAGGAGGAAGCCAAGGACAAGGCTGAGTTCCAGTTGACCAGTTGACCACTCAAAAGGACTCATCCTGATTACGTCATCGCTCAGATCAACCTGCTATCCCCCGTTTGCAAATCGGGGAAAACTCCACCCATCACCGTGCACTGTGCAGTTTTCGATCGGGGGCATTGGAATTGGGCACAACCCCATCAATATGAATTGATCAAAGAAAGATTGATATTGACTCAAACAGCAGAAGAAGGATTGTGATGCCCCAGGTGCCCAACAACAATCGGGTTAGCTGAGTTGAACCCGCATAAAGTTCTTGAATTGATTGCTACATAGCTTTTCTGCTGCTCTCTGGGTCCATCCTAAGCTAGGCCAGGGCTGTTTAACCATGAGACTACAAAAAACCATTGATATCTACTTACACATATATTTCATTTCCCCAGAACTGACATAACAAACAAACCAAGCTGTTTCTCTCTAGGTATTCATCATGACTGCTGTCTCTGAAATATTTATGTGGAGGGATCATATAACTAACATTGTAAGAGCAACTCCACCGCGGGCGGTAAATCGGGTCGCTAGTTGGAATTTACAGACTCAACATGAGCCACCGCGGCCGCTATTTGTGTCCCAAATCTACGGCCGTCCCTAAATTTCGAGCCCGAGTCTCTACATGTAGGGACTCCTAGCGACTCCTCTATCGACCGCTCAATCCCCTTTCACACAACAACCAGCTTGTGAAACTCTACTCCTCCACCTCAATCCGAATCGCTTCCAACTTCACACCACCCTTTCACGGATTTTTGAAGACTCTTGCGGTGCATGCCACAGCACTTCAAGGCTGTAAAGTTGGCGGCGCAGTCCCAACGATCAAATTTTAACGGCCCGAAACTAGGGCCCGCGGTGGAGTTGCTCTAAGAGGAAAACACAGGCATCCACATCTTCTTTTGAATTCTCACCAAAGATTTCAGTTTCCAAATACACCATGTTAACAAAGAAGACTTGTCAAAAACTTGATATAATCTAGTGCTGAATCATGGTTGCTTCAAGTGGGGAACTTGGACTCGGAGGAGTATTAATAATCACACACCCCCCACCCCATTTTTCACGCCAGTAAATAGTGTGTTTGGCACCAGGAAAAAAAAATTGGAACTCCTATAGAGGTGCTTTCACTTATCTCTTGCTTAACCTTACTGTATTCAAACTGTATCTAGTCTGTATCCCCACTGTTGCTAGGATATATCCTTGTATCATTATTTATTTTTATTTGTCATATGATTCCTCTGCAATTGAAGTAATTCCAAATATTTAATTCATAATTTTTCAAATTATAAGTAAAATACTTGAAACCCTAAATAGATAAAAAGGTCAGATCTCAATATACATCTCCATCCATGTAAATTTATTACACAATGAAAAACCAAAATAATCTCAAAAATAAATGGATTCAATCCCTATCCTAATAACATATTATTTGATTCAGGTTATTTATGACATTGCTGAGTATGAATTCTAATGAGAATATAAATATGTATTCTCCTTCACAAATCAATTCATTTTTATTGAAAAATTTATTCTTATTTGACTCCTGTTTTATGAAGATTCATACTCTTTTCTCCCTTGTGCTTGCTGTTCCAATCTCAGTTATCTAAACCCCTAGGTGTATGTGTATATTTAATTTTATAGATTTTGAATTATCTTTATGAGTATGAGAGAATTCAAATTGTTATATCTGGGAGACCCTTAATGATGTTCAATTTTGACATAATGGTATTACCAATAACTTGCACTTTTCACACATAGTTATGATAATTCATGAAGGTAAATTTTATTCAAAAATAAAAACAGTCCTCATATTATTGGCTTTATTGATGAAGATATATGATTCTGTCATAATTTTTATCTTAATTTTGTTATGGATTACTTCTCCCTTCCAAACAACATCACAATAAGCCAGGTTTTTTCTCAATCTAAAGTATCATTCACAGGCAAATGAAGAATACCATACAACATGAGTGCTTGATCCCTTCTCAAGGCTCATCTTGTCTACTTCTAGAATTTGAAAACAACAAAGCTGTGTTGTGTTGGTCCAGCATATTTGATAATACTCAAAAATTTAAACCACTCAAATCAGTAACAATTTTATTCTAATTAAAACAAAGAAGAAAAATTTTTTCATCTACCATCCCCAGCAATAGGTAAGTATACTGAACTCAATAGCCCAATTTAATGAAATTAGATTTTGTTCCATTTCCTCTGTAAAATTGTTTGTTTTCATACTTGGTTTTTTCCAAGCCTTGTTCTGAAACCAGAATTTTGAGGCTCATTATGTTTCTTCTTCCAATTAATAATGTAGATTATTCTCAGGAGTAGGCTGAGGCATGGAGTGTGTCATCAGCATTCCAGAAAGAAATTATATGTTTTAATTCAAATATGTCAAGGGTTTCCTATCATACATATTTCTTATTTCCTGCTCATCACCACTGGGTAACGAAGTATGACTGTAAATATAAATTTTCCAACTTTGAAAGCCTCAGGATTTTTGCCTAAAATCCCTGGCCACTTTAATTGATTCTTTGGAAATTTTTACATTTTGAGGAGAAATATTTCTAGGAATTGAACAAAAAATTGTGCTATGATCTCAGAAAAACTCATGAGTTTAACTCTCTTCCAGTTGCAAAAAGTGGGCAAGGACTTTTGATTTTCATACTGTGATTTAAGTAATCATTTGTCCAATTCATTATTTTTGAACAATTTCTGAGTTCAAGTTTGCTTGACAGTATTTCACAGGCATTCAAGTAATTATTTTATTGGGATCTGATACACCATCTCATGATTAGCTCCTTGGTTTGTTTTGTTTTTCAAAAACCAGTGATTATGTGAATTTAATTCAGAATGATTGGTATTGATAGCTATCACTGGTTAATTGGGATGCACAAGGGGGAAATAAATCAATATCTATTATAAAACTTTGATATGATCCAAACCCTGATTCCTGTAATAGGTGTTCTCTATCCTTTGGTCAATACAAGATAAAGCTTAGGATAAAACTCTCTTAAGAGTAAAACCTTTTCATTAAGGTTTTCTTTGTTTTTGTTTTTTCAAAAGCTCAAAATTTATCAGGGATGAGAATTTTAGTCATGAAACAGAGGTCAAAATTCCATTTTCTTGCTATACTTACTAATGCAACTGTACAAAATCTCTATTCGCGAGATCTGGAAGAGGAAACAGGAACTAATACTGATCTTCCATATTCAAACATCAGATCAATACGGGTTAGGTATTTTTTGGCTTAGCAAGAGGATCTGGTCTGATTAACTGCATGAAGCAATAAATCTTTATTTCTCCAAGCAGTAGATAAGGAGAATATTTCTTTCCCTCCTTTGCTTGTCCAAATAAAAATGCGTTGGTCTGGAGGAGATCGGAGGCATGTTTTCAAAATTAAGACCGCCGGTCTTATTTCTGAATTACCGGAACCATTTAATTTGTAATCGCCGGTATTCAAGCAATTAAGCCCGCCGGTCTTAATCTGTTTGGTCCGAAATGAACCATCTGCTCTCGTTGCTTGATCGCAACTGCCTTGTCAGTGCAAAAGCGATGGGATCAGGGGAATCTTTCCTTTTTTCCTGATTTAATAGACATCGAGGATCTGGTTTGATGCAAGATAAATTGGAAATATTGGCCTTCATCTCCTGCTAGGACCAATCCATCTAATTTGTTAGGGGTGGGAGAGGGATTCTTTTTTTTCTTCCTTGACTGTTATAAAATTCAATCTTTTTTTGTCAGAAGATATTCCAGGACCAGTGAAACTCATCACTCATGAATTTACAAACCACAAGACATACACATCTTTTTTCACCAAGCAAAGTTGAAGTTTCTGCCCTTCTGCTTCTTAGCCCTTTGAAGATGCTCTCAGAAAGTTTTGCTTTCTTTCTACACTACTTTGAATTATTCTATGTGTTAATTAAAATCTGAAAAACTAGTGTTAGAGTCTTTTATCCGATATTAAGAATTCCAGACACTATGGTTGATTTCAAAGCCTGACTGGGTCTACATAGATTTTGATTGATGTTGTATCAGTTTGTGTTGAAATTTCACACTCATACATAAATTGGTGCACAGCAATTCGCAATCAAATGAAGCAATTAATCTTGACTCAGCTCAAATAGGTCCAAGCACCATTTGGAAACAGGCTTTTGCTGTTTTGATTAGGAGAAGTGATGTGATTTTTTGACCAAGAAAGAAAACCAATTTCATGTTTCAGATGATTAATATTTTGATAGAAATCGAGTGTTTGAATGAATTGTTTTTGAACAGATGATGGTGCCTTTTTGTTTTCAAAAGGGGATCCAAAAAATATTTCAAATAATCCATAACTATTTATCACAGATGTTTCTAAATTATGTGACATTTCTATTATTTGAGTTAAAGTTTGAGTGAAGAAAGATCACTGATTGTGAATCTTCTGGAGGTATGGCTTGTAGTTGTTTTTGAGATAAATTAGCATACAAATGTCTGGATTTTCAATCTTACACAATTGTACGAGATCTAATTGTTTTCATCAAGTCATGATTCTGGACTGGTAATTTCAAGTCTTTGAGTTAGGTTTATTAGGAAAGGGAAAGATTTAGTATGTGAAATTTCATAAAAAAGGCTACTGTAATCACTCAATATTTTCAGGTTTTTCTGAAAATCTTACCTTGAAATTTGCTTCCAAATTGAACACATCATTATTTAGACTCAGAAATCTTCAAAAAAAAATCTGATGGATTCCAGAGCTTAAGACTACCCAGCTGAGATACAGAAGTAGATATGATGTATGCTTGTATAGGATACAGCACATATACAACTGGGATACAGTTGGGATATACAAAAACCACCTCTATAGAGGTTCCAATTTTTTTTTCCTGGTGTGGGTGCACACCACTTATTTCTGGTGTGTGGGCATGCACACCCTTTTCTAGTTGTGTTCCTGCCCAAAAAAGGGTGTGCAGTTTTTTTGGGTGTGTTGGGCTGCACACATGTGCCAGCAACCCATGTAGGACACTGGCCAATGTCCTATGTCCTATATTGGCTTTCTTGATTTGAGGAGGGTTTCTATTGGCCTTTGAGACTTGTTCTAGGCTTGACAGCTGGAGGTATCCCTACAGACATCAAGACTGTGACGTGTGCAGTCTCAATGACTGGAGGGATCCCTCTAGCTGTAATATCTGGATATGAAACTTGATGGGAAATCAAGTACTTTTCTTGTTCTAATAAATTTTGTTAGTAAATTTTAAATTAATTTTTAGAGTAGAAAAATACATTCAAGCTCACAAAAAAAGGAGATTGTTCTTTGAACAATCAACAAGGGGCCTAGAGCTAGTTTTCAATCAATACTCTGAATTCTGGGGGAGGAATTGAAGAAGTGTGAATTATTTTTTAGACAATATATCACAGGTAAGTTGTCCAAAGAGACATTTTGGGGGTGGCTCAAGGCAGAATTTGCTTCCTCTCATACCGGGCTTGTAGAGGGCCCAAGGCTATCTCTTCTCAGAGTCTCCAATGAAGTCACCCAATCAAGCTAGGATGTGGGTGTCAGGATTGCCAGAACACCCCACCCAAACTCCCAGGTTACACCTCAAGTAGTAGATATCCTGCTCTCAAGCCAAGACCTGTAGTGTCATTACTTCTTCAACAACTGGCTCCAGTCATTTGATTGTTCTTCTTGATCATTTAGTTTACACCCAATTAGTTGACATATACCATCCTCAAAGGACTTCTCCAAGTGACATGGAAGAGGTCCTTCAAGGATGGTGCACAGTGCACACCTAATTTGCAACATCTCAAACTTCACATACTTCCCCCCCCCAGCCCCCCAACAACAGACATTTTTTTTTAAAAAAAGGTCCCTAACCCCTATCCCTTAACCTATCCCTAACACCTATCCCTTACCCTATCTCTAACACCTATCCCTAACATTATTCCTTGCCCTCACCCTACCCCTCACACCTAATGCCTATTGAGGTGATTGAGAAATGAGGGATGAAATTTTTTTTTTTTGAAGTCAAACTTTGGTTGGTTTGAGGGGGCAAGGGGAAAGTTTTGGCAAATCAGTGTTGACCATCCTTGCAGGACCTCTCCCATGTTACTCAGAGAGGTCCTTTGAGGAAGGTATATGTAGCCCTATCAGGTGTTAGTCTAGTCTTTGTTCTTATCATCTGAAATAAAAAAAACCAAACTACATACAGCCTCTGCCTCATTTCCTGTTTGTAGTGGTTGCTGAGCCCTGTCTGAGGAATCCAAACCCCAAGTTTTGTTTAGGCATTGATTGTATCTCTGGAAATAATCCCATCCTTCATTCATTGCAAGGCATTTCTTAGAGCCTTGAATTCAACAAGGGAGTAGTGCCCTTGTAGCAAGACTCTCCAGGTTGCCTGCCTGCCTAAACACATGTGATCAAGAATAAAAACCATCAAGCAATTTGTTTTGTAGAGTAGACCAAACCGGCAGAGATATAAGTTGATAACAGTGGGTCAATTCAGTAGACCACAGCAAAGCTAGTATATTTATTAGAAGCAACATCAGAAAACAACAGATTGAAAATAACAGTCTGCAAGGATCACCTTTTCCGTTTTTGATTTTGTGTGGAAGAAACTAATGGAGAAACTGTTTTTGCATAGGCTTTCGTGTCGGGAAGAGATTTACTGTGAAGCAGTGAGACGCTTGGGTGGGTATTTATCAGCTCCGTCAAAGCCTTTTTGAGACCTTCAGACAAAAACTTAAAAGAACTCAAACTGTAGAATGCCTGAGATGCCCGTCGTCCCAAGTCTATTTTGCTCTCGGGATTGACAGGTATGGGAATGAGGTCCGTTTTCGAGTCCCTCAGACTAAAGAAAAGCACGAGATACGGATTTTTTTCATTGCAGTCGATTTTCGCGAAATCGGGGGTCCACTTGTCAGAGTCAACCGCTAAGTTTTCAGTTTGCATCTTGTTCTTGACCTGAATCCCACAAAATGTGATGTTTTTCTTGTCCAATCGTTCCTGGCCCTTTGGCAATAGGTAAATTGGAAACAGTTGATCAAATCCGCGTTGATTTGGTTTACATTGGACCGCCGCGCCTCGGTGTAACTGACTCAAAAAATCCTCCGAATTGGGTGTGTGTTCGATGCAAACGAAATGATTCCAAAAGAGTTGACCATCATCTAAGAGTTTCTTTTTGTTTGTTGTAGTGATTGAACCGAGCTTTAATTGACTTCGATTCAAGCCGGTTAAGGTTTTTAAGAAGTCTACCAACCGAACCGGATGCCCAAATGGCATAACGACCTTTTCCGGATGTGGTTCTTCACCTGGTTTTGGTTGGTTCTTCCTCATCGTTTCTTGCATTGCTCGCAGTAGGACAACACGACTAACTAGCTCGCCAATATCCCCCGGGCCAACATGACCTTGCTGACGAGTAAAGGTCAGGATTTCAATGCATCGTATCAATCTGGCCTCATCTATTGCTAGATATTGATTGGCCGCTGAGGAAAAAGCAATTTGAGATGGATATTCACTTATGAGAAACTGGCGCGATGGGTCGATAAACAGGCACTGCGCAGCATGACTAGCAACTAGACGGACATTCAGATGTGACGCTCCATACAGCTGCGGCTGTATGGTGGAGCCAAGTAAGGCGATCGCTTGCGAATTGGTCAGGGAAGAAGGGTCAATAGACCTATCTGTCAAGCCAAGAAGCTTTTCAAGGGCAAAATGGATCAAGTCTTGCACGATTCCCTCGGCGCCTTGTTTTTCACTGGCAACATCAACATACACACCAAAAAACGGACTGCCATAGCGTAGGAGTCGGAATGCTGATTGCAGTTGCTGCCATGTTGTGGGCGGAGCAGAGACTAGTATATCAAAGGTGGCGACCTGATAGATGGGGTCAAAAAGCGCTAGCCCAGGCTTGCCGGGCCTGTGGCTGGGATCCAGGTTTCCCGGTGGAGTGAAATTAGAGATTTGAGAAGTAGTGTCTGCAAGGATTGCAAAAACCCCGCTTGCTGATGGTATTTTAGCTAGCGTGCGTCGGAGAATACGGAAAAATGTCCAATCGTCAGGTGATTCTCTGCTGTGGAGTAATTGGCTGGCTTCGTCGATTGCCAAAAGCAGGTTAAGGTCGGTTGGTCCTAAGAAGCTGGTACTCTTCTTCATCCTGCTTAATGCGCCCTTCAAGCGTCCGGCACTCTCTTTCTCAGACAACATTGTAAGACTCTCCATTTGCTTCTGGACATCTAGCCAAAAGGGTGGGTCACCGCTTCGATGGTTTTTGGGAAAGCTATGATTAATCCATGATTCCATTCGATCACTTGTAGCCATTTGACTTTTTTGTTTCTCAAAGAAAGTGGCCACGACATTCAGGATAGCAAGCAGCAAAAGCTCATATTGTTTTTCGAGGGATTTTCGTTCTACGTCGATTAGTATGCGATAAGCCCATTCGGATCGCGGCGGGTATCCAGTTGATTTGTCGGGGCGGATACAGATATACACAACACAAATATGTCTCGATAGCTCCTTCAATAGCCGAGTTTTCCCGTTAAGCGAGGGTGCGATGAGTGCTGTATAAGGAGCCACGTATTTGGCAGGTAACCAAGCAGCAGCAAAATCTTGGAGAATCTTAAGCGTCGGAATCACTATGCGTTCGGCATTTGAGTACGTTCGATCGTATCCTTCTGCCACGATTTCGGCTTGCAGAGTTTCAGAGTTTGGTCTTCGCGCGAAACATGCTTCAGCCTCCTGAGACGTCGAGGAGTCCAGTGCCTCGACTCTTTGTTGATGAGTGGTTTCAAAATCTTGAGAAATCCTTGGGTGCTGCTGCAAGAAAGCAAGTTGAGAAATATGCGCTTGAAGAGACTGATCCGATCTGGTGCCTAAACCCGATTGCAAGGTACGGAATTTCATTGTCCTGTTGAGAAGTCCGCTCCACAGTCGACCGAACTTGGTCCTTGATACGTGGGTTGAAGTGTCACAGAGACTCTCAAGATGATCGAGATGCTCCTTGAGAGTTTTCACTTGGAATCGTCAAAATGTGGGTAAGTTTATAAGAAGACCAAAAAGATAGCATGAACTAGCAAGCAGCGTAGACGTACACCCGACAATATCCAGGAAATCTTTGAATGATTCTTCTGGGTTGACTAGCTCCAGATGAAGATTTAGGAAACGCTGCCATTGAGCAGCTGTACTTTCTTGATCAAATGTCGATCCTTTTGATACAAAGAGTGCCTCGGCCTCCAGCGAGTTGGAAGATTGGAGTGCCTGGATTCTTTGCTCGTGAGTCGCGTGAAAATTTTGAGAAAGCCTCGGGTACTGCTGAAGGAAAGCAAGTTGGGAAATATTCTCTTCAAGGGATCGGTCAGACTCGGTTTCCCAGATTAGTTGAATGTTTTTGAAAGTCGCATCCCTCGTGAGAAGTTCACACCAGAGCACACTAAAATCGTCGGTGTCTTGTTTTAATTTCCTGCACAGCGTCTCAAGATGGTCGAGATGCTCCTCGATCGTTTTCACTTAGGACGGTCAACAGGTAAATGATTAACTGTGAAGGCGAATAAAGCCGGTATGGATGATATACGCACATCCGACAACATCGAAGAAATCGTGGAATGCTTTTTCTGGGTCGACAAGATACCTATGAAGATCTAGGAATCGTTGGCATTGACCAGCTATCTCGTCTTGATTGAATCCCGAAGCACGAACTAGTTGATCCATTGTACTAACCTGATGGAAGCAAGATCAGAAATGGCAGTCAACGAGATGGGTGAATCATAGATAACAGGAAAAAGAATCTAGGAACTTACTTTAGGGTCGGAATGTGCAGATTGGTTGTGTCAAACTTGCAGGAACGTGGAGTCGGCAATCAGTGCGGATTCCGGCAAGTGTGGCCGGGAGTCCGGCTGGCTGAGCCGCAGCCGAGTCACACTATTTAATATGTGAAAACTCAAGACATCCGGATCGGGCAAGTTGTTCAGACCCCCCGTGGAGGCTTTCCCGACGGCGACGGGGCGGGACCGGGAAAAAGCCAGCCCAAATCCGGCTGATGGCCAGGTGGCAGGCTCAAGGCCAATTACGTATTCCGGCGAACTTGACACCCAAAATCTCCCGGCGAGGCAACTGACGACGACCACCCTCTGAATGGACTGCTGAACCTGCCGTCCGACTGAACCACCGTCGCCGTCGTGTCTCTTCTGGTCGAATTGGTTGGTCTCGCCGCATCAGGAGGGAGGGGGGAATGGTCAACTGGACCGATCATCATCACTGCGAAGGCCTTAATAGACCGGCCATTCCCATCGATCCCTTTCAGGATTAAGCAAGTTAACCATCAATCATGCAGGCTCCATCCACCCACTCCAACGTGGTCACCGACCCATTCTCGGCTATCTACAAGGCTCGGCCAGGCGAACTGCCAACATCCCTATCGATCGAAAGCTACCACAACAAACGAGTCGAACAACAGGAAGCTCTTCTTGACCAACAATCAGCCGACCATTCTTCACTCGCCTCAAAAACAACTGAGAAATCCGACCATTCTTCATCGAACCGACTACAGAACGTCTTCTGTCCCTCCCTCGCCGGCGAGAGAGATAGAGGGGTACGCAAACGGATGCTCAGTAACCCGGAGAGCCTCCTACCTCCACCCCCAATGAACACTAGCGGCTCAATAAGGCCTTCATCAAAACTATCAGCTTCAACAGTCGTTCACGATCCGGACGATGTCAACATAACTAAAGATACACAAGAAGAGGTCGATTCGAAAAAGAAGTTTCAGTTTCCAGCCGAGACTGCAAACCCAAACCCTTTCGAGTCTTCATTTCATACCCCACCCCGCCGATGTGGGATCTTCTTCTCTCCACCGAGGAGCTTGGATACTCTCACTTCAAAGCGAACGAGATCCGAAAACTTCACCAGAAGTGCTCATCGTCTGCAACCCTCCGAGGAAGAGACCGAAGCAACACTTAGATCGGAGAGCCACCACCGCTTTTCTTCTGCCTTTTCCCGTGCGATCATTCGCGGTGATATTTGTCTTGATCTCGAGTAAGTACCAGCTTACTTGAAAACTCCCCTGTTTCTTCGTTCTCCAATCCACTAATTTAGCCTTTCTCTGATTTGCCCCCCCCCCCAAAAAAAAAAAAAAATCTGCAGCAGTCAAGATCTCCATACGATTCCCGACCTTGAGAAACTGGTAGAGGAGCAAAAAACTGTAGTTGGTCATTTGCAGGATAAGGTGAAAGTGATGGCCCTGATCGAGAAGATGGTAAATCCGAGTGGGACGAGCGAAAGTGGAGGGGTCCGACAGTCGCTAACGCGGGTGAAATCGGCGCCATCAGTCTCGTTTGCACCACGCTCTACCGCCTCGCTGTTCCTGTCGAACAACCAGTTGACCTCAAGTCCTTTTGGTCAACTCGACCGGATCTGTTACTTTCAAGGACTCGAACAACTAAGTTTACGCTCGAATCGACTGACCGAAATCCCGGAAGCGATTGGGAAGCTCAAGAACCTGAAAGTTTTGAATCTCGCTTACAACCAGCTCGAGTTCCTGCCCTCCTCAATCCTCAAGCTAACCGATTGTAAGCTGCTCCTGAACGGCAATCCCTGGCTTAAGCCTCCCCTTCCTCTCGACAGCTCCTCTCCACTCAAGACTACTTTGGGGAACCGGACGGTCCAACAATTCAGATGGCTCTCGGAATCCCAGGGGGTCTTTTACTTCTCTCCACCCGCAAGGACGCTTGTACCCATCGACGATTCACTACCAGCTCCGCTCCCAAGCTTACTCGAAACGTGTATCCGAAAGATATGCATAAGCAAGGATCTCAGCGGCAAAGCCGAGACACTAATTGGACAAGATGATGATGATGATGATGATGATGATCTTGTCCATGATCACTTGTGTCCCCCTTCTTCATCCACCGAGTCTCCTCATCGGTCTACAGAACTTACCACCCTCTTACCCGCCCGAATTCAGAAAATCATCAAGCAACCTGCCTCATACTTCTATCGCTGTGATCTGTGCACCACCAAGTTGGTCTTGAAACCCGGCGCGCTCCCCCATCCCCCTTCGACTCAAACCTCTCCCCATCCCCGACACGCTTTCCAATTCAGAACCCTCGGCTTGCTCGGCCTCTTACCCTTCCCCCAACCCCAATCTCATACTCCTGATCAAAAGATCGAACTCGATCATAATAACTTTATTCCCATTCGCTGGAATATATGTAGTCTTAACTGTTGCATCGAGCATCTCATTAATACTTAACACCCTTCTCCTTTGCTCCATATTTCTTCCGTTTTGCTTGTATTAACAACTCTGTCAATATCATCATCATTAACTCTCACATTTTTTTAGATTTATTATTACTATTATTATCCTTAGCATTGTTGTTATTTTAACCAACTTGAAGCAGATCTCTTTCTAACCTATTGGTTGTATAAAATACTTATCATAACATAAACATTTATTTCCTTTTTTTTCCTTTTCCTTTTTTGAATCCCTCTTCTCTCTCTCTCTTCCTCTTTGGATTTCTTCTTATCTGATAAGTGTATATCTGCGCTCATGTACTTTTCTTGATCAAGCAACATTTTCACCTTTTTTTGCTAAAGCTTGAAATATTTGAAAATAAGGAACACCTAAACAATGTGTGTGTTTTTTTTGTTCCTTTGAGGAGGTATATGCACATCTACTTTTTAATAATGTTCTTCTTGTGGTATGGAGAGGAGGTAGAAGAGGCACTTGAGGCCCAGGAGATATGATGAAGCCAGAGCACAATTAAATATGTAAACCATACCACTCCGCTTTCACATCCGGAAGAACTCAAGTTGAACACCATCGGCGTTGTCGCGAGTTGATCAACGGATCCGGCATCATGCAATTCCTTTGGAAGACGCCAGGCCGGCCCAAAGGGAGACGGACCAGCCGGGTAACTGAAAAGTTGAATTGGGCGAACACCGTATGTATCGCGTTTGCGCGAAAAAGTTACATATCCTCATGAACCCATCTTCCCGGGTTGCTACCGACTCTGGGTGGTGGCCGTACTTTCGCCTATCGTCGCCGGCCGCCATGGGAACTTCTGGATTGTTAACAGCCGGCAAGATGCCCTCAAGCATCGTTGCAGATCATCAGACCTCCGTCCCAACAAGTGAAAGACTCGTCTGCTATATCTCCTTCTCGTTCGCTCGGCATCACTGCCCGGTCCTCCCTGTAGATGTTTTGACTTCTTCGTCCCTTCGGAGCACCTGCAAACCACACTCCGTCTCAACCTAATCTACTTTTCCAGATGGTTGAATCACTTCCCCCGTTCACGGCTCAGGCTCAAAAAATCGCCCAGCGACAGACAACGACAGAGGCTTCATTCTTCTTACTCGGAAGTCTACTCGGAGTATTTGTGGTCAGTCGGAGCGACGAGATCTCTATGAATCGGTTTAGATCTATTGACATCCTGCATCACGACATGAACAGTTGGTTGGACTCCTCAGAGCGCCGTTCACCATCATCTACTTTATTACCGGTAGATTCAAACAGGGATGGACTCTGCGAAGAAATTCACAAACTTCCGAGGTCACTTCATTTAGGAACTGGCGAGTTAAAGGCAGTCGGTTTACAATCAGTGGACTCAAGCCCCGAAGAACACAACAACTCTTCATAGAATATCTATACTGGTATAATAGAGTTGCTCTTCAAAGTGTATGGCGATGTCAACTTTTAACTCTTGCCAAGCTTTTGATCGCACTCGTAAGTCTCTTTTACTTCTCTCTCTCTCTCTCTTTTTTTGAAAGAATAACGATCGGAAGTTTGGCCAATTAAAAATTGACTAGCACTGAAACCTCTTCACTGTGCTTGATCAAGCTCTACATCATGGTCGTGATCCTTTCGCTCTTCTGGAAGAACTGGCGAGCGGATGAATTCTTGAGCCGATTCAGGAGACCTGCATTCATTGCTACCGTCCAACTCCCGCTCATGTTTCTTCTGGCCATGAAGAACAACATTTGTGGGTTCTTGGGCGTCGGCTTTGAACGTATCAATTTCTTGCACCGTCTTGTTGGTGAGTTATATTATCCACAACTCCATGTCACACCCCAGTTGAATAAACCCATCAAAATAACACTTGATCATCACTCTATTGAAATTTTTCGCAGGTAGAACAGTGGTTTTATGCTGTTAGTTTCTGTCAGATCAAACATTGAGAATATGGATCCAGCTGATTACTTAAATATTTACCAAAAATCTTTTACAGCAATCATTCACGCGGTCCTAATCTTGAAAGTTCAAGTCTTTCCTCTTCGTGAATTGTTCAAACAATCCACATTTATGTTTGGAATGATATCATTAGCAACAATGATATTCTTGACGTTGACCTCCATAGGTCCGATCAGGAAGAGGTTCTATCAATGTTTTCTTGCAGTACACGTTCTGGGGTAAGTTTTATTTTCAAAGTCAACGCAAACATTAAATTTGTTTACGAGCTTTTGGCCATGTGAATCCAATTATTGGCATACTCATAACGGTTCAAAACCTCATGTGCGCTTTTTTATTGGCATGCATAGTTATATCTTGTTGCTCTTTGCTCTTTGGAAGCACGTCGAGGCTACCCATCTTGTAAGTAATTTTTGGAAAACTAACTAATACTTGGTGGGCCATAACTACATCTATGTACTGACCCAGCTGATTCCCTTGATGCAAAAAACAGCCGATTTTGATATGTTGCGGATGTAAAGCAGTCGACCAGATCTGTCAAGCTTTGAACACCCGTTTCAGGACGGCCATGTTCACCTCCTTGCCCGGAAAGATCACGATAATCGAAGTGCCTGACCTTGGGACTGGTTGGAGAGCAGGTAAATACTCGAGAAACTGAATCATCCGTCGTGCCAGGAAATTTGAAGCTGAGAGTGAGGCATTTCCCAATCGTAGGGCAATTTGTTTTCCTGCGGGTATACTCACCAAAATATATCCTGGAAAAGGTAAAATTTTGCTTGCTTCATCGGTCCAGATTCTGACTCGAACTAATTATCGTTGCTGTTTTTATCAGCATCCATTCACTATTGCAAATGCTCCGGCCACAGATTCTCCTTACAGGTAAATACTTTTCCCAAGAAAAAAAAAACTTATAGAATACATCAATGCTAATTGTATTCATTTAACGTTGGTTTAGAACCAAGAATAGTCTTGTGTTAATTGCAAAAGCAACTGGAGATTACACGAGGGTAAGCTGAAACCATACGGAAAAAAAAACTGTCTGATTTCTAAAAGCTGATGTTTTATTTTTTGATCCCAGAGAATCCACGAGATAGGATTGACGAAGGCCGCGATGGAGAGTCAATCTTCAGATGTCAAAAGTCCTCATAATCTAAGGGTGCAAAGCATCTCGAGTGCAGATACCAAGAGTGAATTGGGACTAATCGATTCCACCTATGATAGTCAGCTCTTAGTTTCCATCGAAGGGTAAGAGCTATGCCCATACTGCTGACCCAGATAACATAAAAACAAACCATCTTATGCGATTTTATTCAATTTTTTAGACCTTATGGCCATATGTATCATGACATGAAGAGCCATGAGACAGTAGTTCTTATCGTGAGTCTTCCTGATTCCCAGATGTAGACCAAGGTCTCATGATAAGCGTTACATAATGATTGAAAACAAAACTTATTTTAGGGAGCCGGAGTGGCTTGCACATTCGTCATGTCGCTGTTCGAAGAGGTTTGTAATCTTACCATCCGCATTTCGTGGTTTTCTTTGTTCGATTTCCTTTGTGTGTTTTTACTGATTTTTTCAACTCACGCTTAATGAATACTTCTTTCCTAAACAGGTTGTGGGATCGGCTCTCAAAGCTTCGGCTGCCACGCGGAACATTCTCATCTATTGGACTTTGAGAGACATTGGTGGGTCTTGTGCCTCGAGTGGCTTTGGCTTTATTTGTTTTCTAAACTACCAGTCCTCGATTTTGGGCCATTCTTGCTTATAAACTTTATTTTCCATTCGATATTTTAGATATGGTGGAATTCTTTCTTGAGCCCATACGAGAGAATATGAGGATGGCACAAGCCATGGGTGAGTGATTCGGAACCTAAAGTAAAAACTATAACTTGTTTTTCTTGATGGCTGATTCAGATGAGCTTTTGACCCAACAGATATTGCAGTTCAAATCAAGATCCATGTCACGTCAACGATTGGCATATACAAGCCAAGACCATTTCGGGAACTGACCATAATCCAAAGAAGGATTGATCTCAAAGAGGTCGTAACAGAGGCAGTCAACACGACTTTGGCCGAAATCAATGCCTTGGGAAGATGCGATCCTGCATGTGGTATCGGGATTGCTTCCGCCAGTGGATTCTCTTCTTTCTCTAAAGCTTTGAGAGATGCAGCTCTCAGCGTGGATAAAAAAACGTTCACTGAAATCGGAGGTCTCACTGTTCACACGTGAGTAGAGACGTAACATACTCTGTCGGGTCACTGCAAATGATCTATCAACCACATTCCTGACAACGATGCTTTTTATTTCATCAAAACTAATTTCTCCAGCGAGATTTTCGACAATCAGTGAATTGTCTTCTTTTTTCCTCCTGTTGTCTTTGCAAGAAAATAGGAAATCAGTGTATTAATAGTGTTTCTGGTTAAAAATTGTGGGCTTATTTAATTGGTCGTCAAATCTCTTGGGTTTAATGTTGCTTCTACGTAGATCGTTGTATCATAGTTCCTAAGCTTGTAGCTCTAGTGTACCACTTGTCAGCTTGATTCAAATTCTTTCTGGTAGTGTTGCATAAAATGAAAGTGTTTTTTTTTCGCAATCACCATACTTTCGCACTCGCCATACTTTCACAATGTCTATTGAGTTGAGAAGTCTCAAAAAGTGAGTCATTAGGCCTTCCGCCAAGTCTCTCCTACCTAGTACCATGATCCACGGCAAGAAAAAGGTTGCAGTCCTAGAGTGAGTAGGAGACTTCATTACTAGTTATGTGAAGAGTACTGAACATTTGGAGGTTCTTCCAAGAAATTTTGGGCGTTGACCAAGTACTGATTTCATTCAGAAAACCCGTAAATTTTCGTAACCTGCAATAACAATTCAGTAGAGCGTTGCCACTTTTGAACAAGGGGCTTGGCACCCTTTGAAGTCTAATTTGCAGTGGAATGTGATTTCCTGATTCTACACAGGTATGCAAGCAAGCATCGCATCTGTTTATCCAAGTACTGGAAGAAGGGCAGATTATGTAGGGTGATGGTGCCATTGCTCAATGCAGTCCCCGGACTCAGCCCCCGGATTAGCTTCCCCCGTTCTGAGCCCCCGTTCGGTGGTGTGCGGGCGCGGCTGGCGGTTTGGCCTGGGCCATGATCATCCCGCCTGTCATTGGTCAACAGCCGATCGTCTCCACTCACATCAACACCGATCTCAAGAAAAGCAAAACACCATGAGCTCAACCATCCTTCAACAGGCCTTCCTTCGCAGTAAGTCTTTGAATTCATCTTGGAATCATCAGCTCAATCTCATCCACATTCTCCTGCTTTTGGTAGCCTCGCTCAAGCCCGTCAGTCGACTCGGCGTGCAGACCAGCTGCTTCAAGTCGCCCGTCTTGGGAAGCTTGTCAAGCCTTCATCAACAAAGGTGTGTTCAAGTTTCTATTTCTACTTCTGTACTACAATCTTGTGCTATTTTTGACTGACTTCTCAACCACTTCGTTTTTCAGGTTTTCTAGCTCCAAGACACTCAAATGCTCTGAAGAGGATGCAATCAAGCTGTTGAATGAACAGCGAAAGCTTCGTCCCTCGTCTCCTCATTTTACTATTTACCAACCACAGGTGGATATCTTTCCTAATGAGTTCCTTACATGAGTAGATGAGATTTGGAATTAACCTTTTCACGCATTTTGCTCCATTTCCTTTTTCAGTTAACTTGGTATTCTAGTATTGCCAACCGGGTTACCGGTTGCGCCCTATCAGCCGGTGAGTGCTGGTTTCACCCGAAAACAAATCCATGAGAATTGAGTGATAAGATTGCCACTGAAACTCACTGAGACTGTTACAGGGTTCTACGCGTATGCCTTGGGTTACATGGCCCTCCCAGGTAGCATCCCGTTGGATTCCGATACAGTTGTCCAAGTGGTGGCATCCAGTCCTGAATGGGCCAAGGTAACTGAACTTCACCGCATCCTTATCTTTGAGTAACCTGAGTTGCTTATCCACCCTTCTTTATTGATGTGTTCATCAAAGGTCGCCGGAAAAGCTATCGTAGCTTTGCCATTCACCTATCATACATTCAATGGAGTCAGGCATCTAGCGTGGGACATGGGATACCGTAAGAAATTCCGAGTTTAGTTTTTTTTTTGGATCAACGGAGTAGCTGACTTCCGATCTGGTTTATCTAGTCCTTGACCTTAAAACAAGCTACACTGCAGGTAAGACAGCGTCCATTAGTTTTCCAGTCACAGATTCATGAGCTAAATTGCTTTATATATCTAGGGTACACCGTCCTTGGTTTGACTGCTGTCTCGACTGTTGGATTAGCCCTCATCTAGGTAGCAAACAAGTGTGGTATCTGTGTCTCTTAGAACCCCCTTGGCCTCCACACACCGCAGTTGCGTCTGGAGTTCATTGTACATTTTTTCAAATTAACACTCCGAGGTAATCACAATCATCTGCCTTGCGAAATTGTATAACTTTGATGACCTGTGTGGATAGTCTTTCAATTGAGCCCTGTAAGTTTGATGAGAAAACTCGATAGAGACTTCAGCCATCATTAATTTCTCCTTCGAATCACCGATTTCCTTGCCTTCGTGATTCTTCCATTCCCGTTAAGGAGAACTGATGATGATCCACTGAAAGGCCTGCCATGGTAGTTATTAGATGCTGTAAAGCATCAAGATACGCGTTCAGGAAAAAAACAAAATAACCGCACTCGAAGTGGCAAAAATAAGCTTAACGCACTTGATTCTCAGTGGACGTTGGACAGGAAGCTGCAGAGGCATACAATGCCCTGAGAACTTGTGATTTAGGATGTCTTGCGTAACTGTGCTGTTATTTGCTCAGCCTTTTACATAGTATCCTACACCTAAGGATCTGGAGAGCTGGGGTCGACTCCAAACGGCTGCTAGGTTTCTGTAAATGATAATCAATAATTGATGTGATTTCTTAAATGTTGAGGAAATAATCAGCAGATTTGTTAGATCTCTGTTTCTCAAGCTTGCCATTTCAGAGAGCAAGACTAGAGTCAGGCAGGCATCGACAAGTGGTGGCCATTGTGGTGCACGCCTGTGAAAGAGGCCGGGCACTCCGGCTTGCTGATCCGGATCCGGGGGCTCCATCCGATTCCGAGCTTCCGCTCAGCCCGCGCACGCGGTGCCGATACTTCAATTAGCGGGCTAAGCCATAGACGATAGCCAGACTTGTTGCGCCCAGAGAATTGCTCTACAACGACAACCACCGTATTCGATTAGTAGGATGGCCACCCCAAGTCTCGCTCGAACTATCAAAAACTTCCTGGCTCTCGGTCCCAGGGTGGGTGATCGATTCAGTACTTATCCTCAAATGGAAAAGCTCTCTTCTCTGATTCAAAATTATTCTTTTCCATCTCCAATGGCCTAGGAATACATAAGACAATTATGGTACATCTGCGACCCTAAACCCGGAGCTTTCAGAGGTATAGACGAGTTGAGTTTGCTTTCTGTTCGTCTCAAATACAGTTTCAAAATAGCTTGGGATTGATTTTTGGCTTCTTAAAAAAATACATTTGTCTACGACGGGACCTTGACAACGTGTTCGCTATCCGTTGATCGACTGATATCATGTCTTTTTCAATTCTCTCTTTAAATCTCCTCGGGATGGCTTATACAGACACGGGAACAAATATTACGAAGACCCTAGTGAATCGATGTTTAGAAATCGATGGGTAGATTACAAAGTTCACGATTTCAATGCGAGTCAGGTCCCTCCAGAATGGCATTCTTGGCTACAACATATCCGTAAAGATCCCCCTCACTTGGATACTATCATCATTCAATCTCGACAATCTTGGCAAATGGTAATCATATTTTACCTTTTCTACTCCTCCCTCCCTTTCAATCACCGCCCTATCTCTTTTGTTTGAAAAATACGTCGTGTCATATTGCTAACGTATTTTTTCTTAATCTGTTGTAGCCACACGTTGAGAATATCACAGGAACTAGAGGAGCTTTCAAAACCTATTCTACCACACTTCCTAAGGTCCAAAGTTGGGAACCTCGAGTGTCCGAAAGAACATCGAGTTAACAGCATCTTCAGTGTAGTTTTAATGGTCTCTTTTATCCAACTCATTTTATAAAATTCATACGTGCATCTTCAAAGCGCGAAGGTAGTTGAAATTGAATCTTCATCTTCATCAGCTTGGTCTTGGATCGTAGCTTGAAATCGTGCCACGTCGAATAGATAACCCCACTGTTACGTCGAAAGGGCTGTTGGGGTGAATTGCTGAGTGGGGCGGCATGTTCATTCCAAGCCAAAATTGGTGGTATGCTTCACCGATTTCACACAATGGGCCAACAGAATCTGGGTTTATCCCATCAGGGGACGGACAAGGCAAAGATAATGGTAAGGAAGTACCCAGTTATTGAGCTAGTGTGTTCCAGCCCGAGTTCAAAGTGTTATTCAAGATCTTTCAAATTGGTTTGAGTTGATGTCACTACCACAGGAGTTTTTGAGGAAGGATACAAAATTAGTCACACATTCAGGCTGTGAAAACTGGGTACGACAACGCCAATCCTGAAGAAAATCTAGAAAAAAGTTGGCAGTTTTCAACAAAAATGGTGATTTTGACTTTGTCAAATGTAAGAACTTCTAGTCTTGATGGCAACAACAATGTCAGTTTTTGGTGATTCACAACAATTTTGGAAATGGAAATGGATTCAATGATGGTGGCGGTTTTGATGGTTTAAGTGATTATGATGTTAGTTTTGATGGATTCAGTTGTGGTAGTAGTTTTAATGGATTCAACAATTTGGTGACGGTTTTATTTCCCACTGGCCTCTGATGCTTTGCATTGAATTTATGTTCACAGCTTCCTCTTCACTTCTCAAACACCAAGCCTCTTAAATTTCTACTTCATACAGCACTCAAGTTTTGTGCATGATAAATGTCTATGTACTCCTAAATTGTGCTCAGAATTGACCATCTCAGAAGGATCTATATGGGGGGTCAGAAGCAAGAAAAAAATCATGCATCTCACTGCTGATTCTTATGTACTCCTGACCACGCTTTTGTAGAGAGCCCCAGGGCAGCCCCGCCGAGGTTGTCGCACAGAGAGAAAGGTCGCGTTTTACGCCTCTGCTTGCCGGTAGGTGTTAAGCTCAGTTTGAGTACTGCTCGGACCGTGGTGCAGTTTTGTCGGCCGTGCCTTCTATTCCCGCGCATGTGAAGTGTTACTGGAAGAGGCATGTGGTTCGCTTATTGCGCATTGCCCGATCCATGATCCCTAAACATGAGGGTTTCGTGTTTATGGACAGCAAGTCCTCACTTGTTCGTCTCAATTCCACTCTTTCAGTGAGCCGGGTGGAAAAGCCACGGATCTTGATCTCCCTTCGGAGTTCCTGGGGGTCGACGCGCTTCGGAGGCTTTTGTGAGGGGGTAATCGGGGGAAACCGAATTTCATATTTGTCTCTTTTTGGAGACATGGTTGATAGGCAGCATAATTATGCGATGGATGTGTGTTCAAAACTCTAACCTTTCCAGGAGATCAATGACCTCCAAAGACCAATTCTGAATTGACATTTAAGATGGCTGTTCCGCGAAACTTTGTTGGTGGATGCACAGGAGAAGGTCATGTGACGAGAAAGATATCATATAGCCTGATTGCCTCCAAAATTTGTGTACTCTGCTTGGGTCCATCATGATTATCATTTGAAAATTCAGGCGCGGGGATCTAAATGGCAGCGGAACCCCGGTGTGAGGTCGTATAAATAGCGTCGCAATGATATTTGATCCTTTGATATAGCGGTGGCCTGCAGTTGTCAACATTTCATCATTTTCCTCTGATAGAAAGCGAAAGTAATATCTCCTTGCACCGATGGCCTCCGTCTATCCGGAAAAAAACCAGCCCATAGACGTGCTCCAGCCATCACCATCTGTCGTCGATGGTCCCCATCCAAACCCCCTTATCTCGGCAGGCGCGTCTCCATCCAGCTTGGATGACAAAACAATGAAGATTATAGCAGGTTCCTTGGAAAGTCCACTCATGGAAATTCAAGACAAGAGTGATCCTTTACATTTGAGCGATCAGTCGCTTAGTAAATCGCTTCAAGATCTGAATTTGTCCCCAGTTCTTCCACCACAAGGCTTGGAAACAAATGTTCAGACGGACTCGACTATTCCAGACAACGGAGTAGAAATCATACCGTTACACGATGATCCTGGGTGCCCAATCGTAACCTTGAGGTCCGTTTTGGTCGGAGTATTTCTTTCGGCTTTGGGAGCTTCAGTTACGCAGGTATGTAAGCTTCTTTTTTGATGCGAAATGGATGAACACACGATGGTTGATATTTTGTATGATTCAAAAAGCTTTTCTACTTTAAGCCAGTTCATATGCAGATAAAACTTCCTTTTCTTCAAGTGAGCAGGCATCGAATCTTCCTTGGATGCGTATGATTCAGTTAACCCCGGCGTTTTGGAATCAGATAGCAGCGTTTATCATTGGCCGAAGTTGCGAATTGATACCTGGCCCACAATGGTGGAATCCAGGAGCTTTCAGTCTGGTAGGCAATTTTTCGCCAGCATCAGTTTTTATTCTTCCAACGATAGGAAGGAAGGCCTTCGGGGAGTAGATGATAAGCCTCAGACTCATTAAAAAGACATCGAAATTTTGGGACGATCCAAGAAAGAGACAGGTTTTGCCGCGCTGATGGCAGCTGCAGCTGGCGTGGCTACAGTTCCAGCGGAGGTAAATCTATTTTCTGGAATGACTATATGAGGGATTCGACTGAGTCAACAATGTTCAATTTTTTCGGCTTGTTTATGGTGATCACGCGTCGTCAGATGATTGCAGTGTACGAGCTCTACTTTGGCCAGGTCATCAACTTCGGCGTTGCTCTCGGGATCTTGGTCGGTGCACAGCTCCTCGCATATGGATGGGCCGGCTTACTACAGCCTATTTTGATTTACCCTTCTCGTGCCGTTTATCCGTAAATCATTCGCCTGCTTCTCTGGAAAAAATTGTCTTCTAACTAAAACTTCTTGGATTCTAGTGAAGCGCTTCCCAGTGTGTCTCTCTTGAACTCCCTTTTTAAGGTGGGATCCAAATCCGATGACCAAGTCAAATTTTTCAAAAAGGCTTTCTTAGCGATTGGAGTTTGTAAGTTTAGCTTTGATTGAATCTAAGGAGAAAAAAAAAGCAGAACGGCCGGATAGACACCCGAATTATCTGAAGCGATTCTTTTTTTCGCATCAAATATGTTGGACGCGTCCTTAAAATCGAAAAGACGAGATCCTACCAACATATGTTGCTCCAGCGTTCCAGGCCATCAACGTCTTTTGTTTGACTTTACCAAAAAATCAACTCATAACCAATATCTTTGGTGGTGCTCGACCATTTGAAGGCATGGGTCTTTTCAGCATTTCATTAGATTGGTCCATGGCAGGGGGGCGAGGCCCACTTTTCATGCCTCTCAGTACGCAGGTAAGATTTGAATTTTCCAAGCCACAGCTTTACAAATCAGCTTTTTACCGTCTAACAAATTGACAAAGTTTCTGATTCTCATAGATTCACGAAATACTGGCTTTGGTGATTTCCATCTTTGCCTTCTTTTTGGTTTATTCAAAATCATGGCATGGTGAGAAATTTCTGCTATTTTTTTTCTTCATGATAGAATCCATGTTTTTATTATTTTTGCCGCCAAGTTGTTTATTAGGTCCTGAATTCCTCATAATTTAGGTGCTGGTCTCAATCAAAATTTCCCCTTCCTGTCTGCCAGTCTTCTTACTTCAGACGGGAAGCCGTATCCATATCGGCAGGCGATCAATACCGACGGTACAGCCAATGAACAGTTCATACAAACAGCGGGCCTTCCATTTTTTACAGCAACTTTCTACTTGATCCAGATTCTTACTTCAGTTTATTTGACAAGTTCGCTTTCACATGCTGTTTTAAACAATTACCACCTCATCGGGCCACTATTGAAGAGGATGAAGAGTCCGGAAGAGATTGACCCTCACCGCGTGGTTTGCCAGAAATATAGGGACTTCCCCATCTGGTATGCTCTCAAAAAATCTGATTCGCAAAGTTCAATTATTTCCTGGGTTTTTTGTTTTCTAACTATCAGATTACATCAGGGGTTTTGTGGTTATGGTGATTGTCTCATTCGCCTTGACTTTTGGGATGTCCTCGGCTAGTCCCTCGGGAATATCATTTGTTGGCTTACTGGTTGCTTTGATACTTTCTTTCTTGATGACGTACGTATCTTTAGCAGCTTCCGTATCCATGTGATCATTTTGCTGCCAGTAAAATTGATCCATTGTGCCATAGATCAAACACAAGAGGTTGTGCCTGGCTAATGCTTTGTTCGAACTGCGTTTTTCAACTATAGATTAGCGGGTGGTTTTATCAGTGCAGTCACCGGTTTCCAAGTAAGGCTCACATCTGGAATTCAAATGCTTGGGGGTCTTATGTTTCCAGGCCGTGTATTTCAAAACATTTGGTTCACAGCATACGGTGCGGGAAGTGCCATGCAGGCCATGAGTATCCTCCGAGATCTAAAGTTTGGGCAATATGTCCACTTGCCACAATATATTGTGGTTTATTCCCAATTAATTGGTGGAGGAGTCGGTGCATTGGCTACTGTTATCGTCATGAAAGCGATCCTAAAGAACGAGCGTGACGTACTGATCTCCGCTCACGGCAATGGCGTGTTCTCTGGAGCTGAAACTGCTGCTTCTCAAGCTCGCGCTATCAGGTTTGTGATGTATTCTTTTGATCCAACTAATTGAAAAACTTCCACTCAGCAAGGTGCATCAATCGATATAAAATACTAATCATGGTTTGATTTATGTAGCTGGGGCATATTCTCCAGGAGACTGTTCCTCTTTGGCCAAAAATATGTAAAGTGTCATCTTTCTCCCAAATCAATAAGGATACATCCTCCGAACGTCTTGAAATAGCGTGACTGAGATAGGCTATGACCGGTCGCAATTCTCACGTGGATTGAGGAACTAAGTCGGCAGTCAGTTGGGGAATGGTAGTTGGCATCTTCCTTCCTATCCCTTTTTTTGTTGCACATAGGTTTTGGCCGCGATACAAGTTCAATCTGTTCAACGTGCCGCTACTCCTTGGAATCACGACTGGTCTCTATAACTGTAAGCTTTCTGATAACTGAAGCTACAATTTGCGTTAATGTTTTTTTTTTTTTTTCAAGTGGCCTCCGCAGGAGAACCTATGCGTATCATCATAGGACTGATGTCACAATTCTGGGCGCGAAAATATCGAACACGATGGTAGCTGGCATAGTTTGATCTATTTTTATCCCAAAAAAACAATTCATAACACTGTTTCTCAACTGTTGGGCATTGAATGAACAATACAGGTTTCGCAAATATAACTACATTTTATCAGCTGCTCTCGACGGTGGAACGGAACTGGTTGTCTTTTTCTTGGCAATAGTCTTTCAAGGAGGTGATGGTCACAGAATCAATTTTCCTACGTAAGTTATGAAAAAAGCGCCAAGAAAGAAATTCCAGTCGTCTAAAATGTTTTGAAACTCTACCTTATAATATAGGTATTTCCTCAACCCTCCTTCATCTACTCCCAGAGATTACTGCTTTATGGCTCCTGATGCCCGTGCGGCCGAGTCCTAACTCACAATCACTCATGAGAAGAAACAATAAACACATGAGGTATTCTTCATTTAAATGTCTAAATTCCACCCACTATTTTTTAAAAGAAATGCCTGTGAAATAAAAACCTTCCATAGGAACACTGTCAAATCAAGAAGTTTGATTTTTTTTGCTTCATAATGTCATCAAAAGTTTGTAAATCTGGCTCTGTAGAAGTTCATTGACCAAAAACAGTATTTACATAGTGAAATATGTGTTCTTTGGAGCTTTGGAACTTCAACACAAAATTTGCAAGTTTCTTTTTGACACAGGTAAGTCTTGAAATACTCAAAGTCCAAAATGAAGGAAGGATGGGGGAATAAATCCATTAATACAAACCTGTTTAAAATCTGGATGATAAGAATTTTAATGAGAAAAATTGTAAGATGCTTACATTCAGTAGTGTATGCATTTAGCAATTTAGCATCACCCAAACTTGAGTTTTCACTCTCTTTTTCCTCACTGAATAAAAATCATGTTTTCTTGGTGATTGCTCCAGTGTCACAATTTTGTGAACCTTCAATCCCAATAACATTAGGAAAACCGGAGAAACCCGCCTGAATTTGCCTTCCATGCACCAGATGCTTGGCATTGACTCTTGAGTAACACCGGAGGTCAATAAACATCAATCTTTTTGGTGGATATCTGACCAATCTCAAACCAATATATGCTCATGCAATCCCCACAACGAAAACGGAAATATGTGGAGGCACAGAAAGATTTTGGACAGGACATCTTATAGCCTCGTTGCTTCCAAGCTTTGGTTGATTTTGCTTGTGCGAGCATCAATCGTATCGTACGACCTTGTCAAATCTAGACTCTCAGAACCGCTGTGCCCAGAGACTGTGTACATTGTTTGCCGCTATAGTGCTACATATGAATCCAGTGATCCAAGCGGCCAAGCGGATAATCAATACGTCGAGCTTATATCCCCGTGCTGAGGTCGAAATTGCAATTTCTTGCCTGGTTTCCTCACGACGGTTTTGGAAAGGAAAGGTCCATCGACAGGCGTGATCGCACTCTCAGAACCAATGGCCAACAATTCTCCCCAGAACAACTCTATTGTGGAAGGCGCTTCTCCATCAAGCTTGATTGAAAACCCAATTGAACGTGTGCCGAATGAACTACAAATCCTACCGCTAGATAGCCCTGAGATAAAGGTACCGTCAAATAAAAGCAATCAGTCGTTTGTTCCATCCTATCAAGACCTGGAGTTGCCACCTGCTTTACCAGGGCAGGATTCAAAAGTAGATACAAGGGCGAAGATGCCTATCCTGGAACAAGAATTGGAAATAACCCAGTTAGAAGACGATCCAGAGTGCCCAATATTTACCGTCAGATCTGTCTTGCTTGGTATTTTTCTGTCTGCATTGTCAGCTTCAGTCACACAGGTAAAAACCTCCTACACTCTCACCTGTGGAGAGGTAAAATAACGAAAAGAAATTTTCTTTTTTAAAAAAACAAGGTTTATTACTTCAAGCCGATCCACCTGCAGATGAAATTGCCATTTATGCAGGTAAGTATCGAAAACTCAAGCAATTTGAATCAATGGGTAACATCGTTTCTTTCAATCAGATAACATCCATAATCATTGGCCGAAGCTGCGCGTTGATTCCTGGACCCATCTGGTGGAATCCAGGACATTTCAGCATTGTATGTGGCTCTTCTTTTGCCCACTGATTCGCTTGATACAAACCAGGAATAAAGCTTGTGGTAGGCTGAAGTGTGATTCTTACTCGAATGAAGAAAGAGGTGGGGTTTTCTACAATGATGGCAGCTGCAGCAAGCGTGGCTACAATTCCATCTGAGGTGGGTGCATCTTCTAGTATAATTTTGTTACCATGTTTCATTTGAGCCTCTTGATTTTCTCGTCGGTGATGGTCAACACACATGTTTAGATGATTTCAGTGTACGAATTGTATTTTGGCCAAGTCGTCAACTTCGGTGTTGCTCTTGGAGTTTTGGTGGGCTCACAGCTCCTGGCATATGGATCAGCCGGCTTACTACAGCCTTTCTTGGTTTATCCGGCTCGGAAAGTCTATCCGTAAATCATTCAGTCACTTCTGCAAAAGTTCCCCATGTATACTAACTGTTGATAAAATTGATTTGATTTTAGCGAGACGCTTCCCTGCATTTCCCTGTTCAGTTCGCTTTACAAAGTGGGGTCTCAGTCCGATGATCAGGTGAAATTTTTCAAGAAAAGTTTCTTGGCCATTGGAATTTGTAAGTTGAGGTGGTCCCGTCGAGTTATAATTCAAACAGCTGCGCCAAAGAAATCAAAACACAGACATTTTCTGACAAAATCTTTGTAATGTATATGTTGATCGTTTTCTTATCATGGTGTTCAGATGAGCTCTTCCCAACATACATTTTGCCAGCTTTCCAAGCCATCAGTGTGTTTTGTTTGACGTTGCCGAAGAACCAACTTGTCACCAACATTTTTGGTGGTGCTCGACCTTTTGAAGGCGTGGGGCTTCTCAACATTTCCCTAGATTGGTCCATGGTGGGTGGCCGGGGACCATTATTTATGCCTCCAAGCACACAAGTGAGCTCATTAGTCCTGAAATCACTGCCAGCAAATGCACTAGGATGAACAGGACAAAAAATATTTATACAAAAAATCAATTGTCGCAGATCCATGAATTAATCCGTTGGATATTCTCTATGTTTGCTTATTTTTTGGTATATTCGAAATTCTGGCATAGTGTGTTTGAATCCAAGATTTTTTTGATTTCTCATGCAATTATTGACGAAGTCCTGAATTTTACCTGATTGTGACATAGGTTCGGGTCTCAGTCAAAACTTTCCATTCCTATCAGTCTCCTCACCGCAGATGGGAAGCCATATCCATACCGACAAGCTATCAAAGCAGATGGCACAGCCAACGAGGAGTTTATACAAAGAGCGGGACTTCCATTTTTTACGGAAACCTTCTACTTGATTCAGATTCTTACTTCAGTTTACCTAACAAGTTCCATTTCTCATGCTTTCTTACATAATTATCATATCATTGGTCAACTCTTCAATAAATCAAGCAATGCAGAAGAAATAGACCTGGATCGAGTAGCTTGTCAGCAACATAAGGATTTTCCATTATGGTAGGCTCTTGCAACACAAATCTCAACTTCCAAATTCCACTTTTTCTTTCTTATTTTTGAAGATTGAATTGTTGCAGGGCATTTGTGGCTATGATACTCGTATCCTTTGGCACAATATTAGGAATGTCTTTGATTGGTAATTCTGGCATTACTTTTGTTGGCTTACTTGTTGCATTGATTGTATCATTTTTAGTCACGTGCACATCTTCATCAGTCTCTCAAACCTCAAAAAATATTTTCTCCAAAAAGGGATCCATGTTTAAACAGCTGATCTCACACATATTTTTCATTTGCAAATCATTTTTTTGATATTAGACTGGCAGCGGGCTTCATACGTGCTGTCGCTGGGTTTCAAGTACTGATAACAGCTGGAATTCAAATGCTAGGCGGTCTTATGTTTCCTCAAAATGCTTTTGGAAGTATTTGGTTCACAGTTTATGGTGCAGGAAGTTCAATGCAGGCAATGACTGCCCTTAGAAATCTAAAATTTGGTCAATACATCCACTTACCACAACATCTTGCTGTCTATTCCCAATTAATGGGTGGTGGGGTCGGCGCCTTGGCTACTGTTGTGCTGGTGAAAGCTATAATACAAAATGAATGTGATGTTTTGATCTCCCCACATGGCAATGGGGTGTTCACTGGGGCTGAGACTGCTGCCTCTCAAGCTTGCACAATCAGGTATGTGCTTTAATCTTTCTAATTCTAGAATACAATTATTCTCAACCAGGAGTTAGAGTTAGTATTTCTTACTAATCATAAATTGCTTTAGCTGGGGGATTTTTTCAAGACATCTATTTCTCTTTGGTCAAAAATACGTAAATCTTGATCTTTCCTTAATCCAGCTCACAAATTGTGCATTGATCTAGTTTTTGAAAATCCTTTGTGCTGAAATGTTCCTTTCGCTTGGCTGAATTATTTTGCATTTGGGTAACCAAGTCGGCAGTCAGTTGGGGATTTCTAGTTGGATTTGTCCTTCCAATCCCATTCTTTATTGTCCACAAGTATTGGCCACAATATAGGTTTGATCTTTTCAATGTTCCTTTACTTCTGGGAGTAATGACTGGCCTATATACTTGTAAGCTTTCAATTACATAAAGCTTCAATTCTTACTAACATAACAGCTTGTAATCTAGTGTCTTTTGCTGGAGAAACCATGCATGTCTTCATAGGGCTAATGTCACAGTTTTGGGCGCGCAAGTATTGGGCACATTGGTAGGTAGCTATTCAATTTCAATTCATGATTAGCCAGAGCCCGGATCATAACAGCCTCTTCCCATTAATTGATTTATTTCAGGTTTAGAAAATACAACTACATTTTATCTGCTGCTGTTGATGGTGGAACAGAACTTGTGGTTTTCTTCCTGGCCATATTCTTTCAAGGAGGCGATGGCCATAAAATAAATTTTCCCATGTAAGTCTCATTACATCTAACCATACACACAACCATTAGATATCTGATAATCTCCTGCGCATATTTGCTCCCCAAAAATACAGGTATTTCCTCAACCCTCCTTCATCTACTCCAAGAGATTATTGCTACATGGGACCCGATTCTTGTGCAAGCGAGTCGTAATTTTTTTTACATAACTATTGGATGCACAAGCTATTTGAAGTAATTTCCGTGATTGGCAATTCCTTATTCCATAAGAGAGGCTTGTAAATTACTTGTAATATTAGGATTGGAAATCATTAAGGGAAAATTTTCCAAAACTGATTAACCATCTGAAACAATTCATCCGGATTTTACAATAGAAATGGAATTTGTATTTGAAGTTAACCAAAGCATGTTGATTTCCTGAAAATTTGATCAACAGTCATGAATAGCTTCATCAAATAATCTCACAAGGATTGCATGTCTTCCATGAACATTTAATAACGTTCAAAGTATTTTCTCTTGACCACAGAACAATTCTTGCCATGCCGGTAAGTATTTTTAATTTGAAAGCAAAAGTAATGAGACGATAACTTTCAGAAGAGCCCTGCAATCAATATGCATACTGAAATGTTGGCTGCGTATTTACATGCATGTTAGTGTTCTGGCCGATCGAGTTCCCCCGGGGAGGGTTATCTTGATCCGGGGGCCGGACTATCTCCTTCTCTTCCCTCTCCTGGGTTTTCGTACCTTGGACTTGGAAACTACCAACAACGATGGCACCCAAGCATAAACCGAACCAGACCCAGATCCAAGCAGACTTGAAGGACGAACAAATCCTACAGTCTGTCTTGTTGGCGGACCCGTTTGGCGCCCAACACTCATGGGGACCCTTATCACGGCAAGCAAATGACGAGGATGAAGAGGAGGATGGTAATCATAAAACGGGTGAAGGATTACCTTGGGTCCGTCAATTTTCAGAATTTTCGATCAATGGGAAACCGCAAACCGTATCGCTAATCGGTTGATTGCATTTGTCTCCTGATGAAAACCGAACCAAACAGTGTCTCATGCCGCTGCTGGGCACCCCCTTATTATCGTGGACGCTTGATTCTTTGGCTCTAGGAGGCGTTCAGCAAGTCTTTTTGTTTATCCGAGATGGGACGGATATGGTTCGTTCGTATCTATCGTGGGTCTCATTTTTTTTTACCTCAGGGTTGCGTTTTTCTTGTTGAGGGAGTCACTAACGGAAGATCCACATATGGTCAAACAGAACGACGTCGTATCTCAACCCTGATTCCTCCATGGTTGTTAGTATTATTCCCACCACTTCATTCACCCCGGGAGACGTCATGCGGGAAGTGGATTCAAGGGCACTCTTGAAAACTAAGACCGGGAGCGGTTCGGATATTGGCACCTTTGTCTTGGCAAGGTGTGGTTATATCGGAAATCTGGATCTGTCCAAGGCTGCTCAGAGATTTACTTCCCGTCGCAAGGAGGACGGTGGATTGCCTTGTCTCTCTGGGGTTATGGAATCGCGAACCAGCAGAATGGCCTCATCAAATTCAACCGCCATCCATCTTCTCGACCCATCTTCTCGCTTACTTTATCTTCATACCGACCGAAACAAATTTCCACGTCCTAAACGGATTCAAATTCCGCCCGAATTGTTCAATGAACCCAAAGATCTTTTGATGAGGTCCGATTTGGAGTCGGTGGGAATCGACCTATGCTCGGTAGAAGTACCTCAACTGTTCACCGAAAACTTCGACTATCAACTCGTTCGTCCGGACTTTGTCCATGGAATCTTGACCAGCGACTTGCTTGGAAAAACTATCCTGTGTGAGGTCGTCAAGGAATCTGAAAACTTGGGCTCAGGTGTGAAATGGGCAACTTTAGTTGGTGATGTAAAAACCTACGATCGAGCCGCGTAGGTCAGATATTTTACACCTCCTTCCTCGTCTTTCCATCCCCAAAAGCAAACCATTTTCCTTCTTCTTAAACTGTTCGACTTGGCCTTAGGCGCGGTATCATAGCACGTCGGTCTCAACCTTTTGTTCTAGACCAAACTCGGTTGGAAGGTCACCCTGTCTTTTCACAGCGTCGAGGGATGATTTACATTGGAAAAGATGTTGATCTTGCTCCGTAAGTCAATTATATTGAATTTGCAATAAGCTTACTCATACTGATTCAATCTTTCGAGTGTGTATATTTCAGAGAGTCTAAAATTGGCAACTCAACTTGTCTGGCGCCAAGTTGTGCCATCTCTCATCGTGCTGAAATCCGGCAGTCATTCATTGGATCATCTTCGATAGTTGGAGAGCGATCTCAGGTTGAAGACTCATACATCTTCGATCATGTTACGATTGGCTCAAACACAAGAATTAAAAACTCGATTATTGGTTCCAATGTAACGATCAAAGCAGACTGTGTCATTGAAGAAGGATGTTTGCTAGGAAATGGGGTGATCATTGGAAACGGTACTGAGCTTAGAGGCGTCAACGTGGGTCTCTCGGGGCCTAATGGATCGTGTAAGCTCGAGGGACCAGGTTCGGTTGGAGTAGTGTGGCCGCGAATCGAAGACTCGATAGGTACAACCAATAATAACCCAAGCGATGATAGTGATGATGAAGAGGGTAACATAGACATAAGGAACTTAAAGTTTGCTCGCTTAGGTTAGTCTGCTGCCCTCAACATTGTAAATTTCTCCCTAGAATCCCACGACTGATAATATTGGGGACCAACCAATCTCTTGAAAACAGGTGCAACATACCAGAACCAAGATTTGGATTCACCCAACTCGTCTACAACATCCCTTTCATCGATCTCGTCCAATGCATCTTCTTCTCGATCAGCCAACATTCAGAATATAGAATCAATTGGAGAAGTTGGTTCGACGCAAGACTTCGTCGTCGAATGTGTTCGCTCATTAGAACGAGCATTTGAGGAAGACCACACCGTCGAGAACGCAACGATCGAGCTCAAAACTCTCAGGATGGCCTCTAACGTACCTCAATCCCAAGTTCGAAAAATTGTCTTTGCCCGCGTCCTCACACTGGTCCAACACGATCTACCTAAATTGAATAAATGGATCAAGTTGATTAAAAACATGATGAATACTGCCACTCATGGTAACAATCGGCGGTCGGAAGAAGAAGAGGAAGAGGAAATCGGTGAAATGGTAGAAATCTTACTCGACTTACAATCCTTCTGTTGCCTTGAAAAGAACTTTACTGCCCTTCAATCTCAAGAGTCGATCAAGTTTTTCTCCAAATGCTTACAAGCATTCTACAATTTGGAAATCATCTCTGAAGAATCGCTTCTTAAATGGTTCAAATCTCAGCAATCGAAATCTGTAACACCTCTCCATTCTCTCTCTGATAATAACACTGCGGATGATCACCGAAAGAATCATTGTCTCAAGTTAAGGGAAGTCGGGGGGAAGTTGTTGCAAATGTTGATGGAGGCTGACTCTGAATCATCAGAAGAAGATTGATTAATAAGCTGTACTTATCATGTTCTTTCCCTCTCAAGCGTGATCCTCCTACAAACTTGGAAATTGTTACTTGCGTTCTACTATGATTTTCTTGCCCCTTGATCTAGCTTTCTTTTTTGAATATCCATATTTGCATTATAATTTTGGTAATCTGAATAAATAAGAGCTGGCAGAATTCACACATTCAGAAAAACAACATGTCCACCTCGATAATTTGGACGTGGAAAACCTTGGGGACAATGTTTCTAAGCTTTTTGTAGGATGCATGGCGCATCGTCTTTGTAAAGATGAATTACTTTTTCTTTCTGAGATTCAGCAAGAACAAAACATATGCATTGAAACATCACATCTGTACTAGGGTAATCTTGGCTCACAGGGAATTTGCCTTTGTCAACTTTTCATGTCACCTGTATTTAAAAGGCCATGATGAAACCAAAGTGACGTTTGCTGATTTTTTTTTTCAATTTTGAAAACAGCAAGCTCCAAAAGAGGCATGTCACATACCCTATTGAGGATCACATTTGACAAGATTTCTGATGGGGTAGATGGATTTGGGATGTTGAGATTCATAATGTTCGCTTGTTTGGCCGGTTGCTTGGACTGTAGATTTGAGTTAATGATTCTATTTCTGCCAACTTGTCAAACCTCTCTGAGAGCATCAAGTCAATAGGCCATGTTAAATATGCTCAGACAATGTTTCTTGTCACATCAAAACGCGCAAAGGGTTTCAAAATGTGCCAGCCCCAACTAAGGCGTACATACTTATTTCAAAATGGAAAAAGTGCGTTGAATATACCCAAAACAATCACCCGTTTCTTGGCCTCATTATTCAGACATTGATACATGCAACTGTTGAATTCCAGAAGCTCATCGGTCTCAACGCAGGGGGATCTCAAAAAGAAGCAGTTCAAAATCTTTGAGAATGACATCTCACAAGGTCTAGACTCTACACCCACGTTGATGGCTACCTCCATTGATATCCATGCTCTTCAAACAGAATTGTTCGTGTGAAGAACTTTATTTTTTTAGGGCAAGTTGTCTGGATTTTCCAGGCTTTCTTATGCACCATAAGATTGAACACCCTTTTCAATTTTTAGGTGATTTGGGGTTTTGGAAAGTGATTCTGATTCCCATCATTTCCATCCTCCAAAACAATCAAAAAGGAATACATGGGTGCAAGATGAATGTGGTCAGACACCAGGATGGGATGCTGGATTTCATGAAAGCTTCAATGAGCGGGGTGCATAAGCAGTATTCCAAAATAGCGTGCTGATACGGAGTGTCCTTTTTGGGAATGGCTTTGGAGTGGAGTTTGTAACGCTCAGGGCTATGTATCTACCACAATGCTAACAGGATGGTAAATTTTGAAGAAAACTGGCGGTTTTTTATTTTATCTTCGGTCAAGATGCTGGCATACATAGCCATATTCTAACCATCAATAAAATCGGGTTGCAGTCACAGTGTGTTCGTGAGGGGAAAAAATAGTACACTGTGAGAGGCAGACCAGGCCATATTCTAGCCAGCTCGAGTTCTAATTTACTTTCTTGTATATGACGCATTTTGAGTTGCTCTGAAGTCTAGAACAGAACCTCACTTTCTTTACCTCCTTCATGAACCCTCATGAACCTCCACCTAAAAAAGTCCCCACGTCCCACATACATTCCCTTGCCTCAACAAGGGAGCCACGTCTCGGTCGTAGTCCATACGCAGCTTGAAAACAGGAATGTTGGTATCTATAGACTATTTGCATACATTTGAACACTATCCAAGGGATGTATTCTGAGACACGTCGACAGACAGGGTGTTGTTAAGCGATCGAAATCGTTAGGCTTGCGGCGTGTTAGTCGTGACTCGCTACCAAAGAGCCGAAGTCTTGCCGGGACTCCCACAACTCCCACCCGCAAGCTTGCAAAGATGCAAAACGCCATCTTTGAAGTGTTCCGTGCGCATTCTGACTAATCTGACCCTGTAGCTTGAAGGAGCGAGAACCAGCTACTGTCATACATCCGAAACCTCTCCAGTCACGTTTTCAAGCATGTTTGAGCTCTCTAGTAGCTACCCTCGACGCTTGTGCAGATACCGGGGTGTGCAAATATGCCAACAGATTCACGGTCATCAATCCCTGCATTCTGAATGAACTTCCCCGAATCCTCGCACAAACTCACGCACGCGTCCTCAGGGGCTTGCATCCTTCAGCGGTGGCGTGGGCCGACCCGTTTGTCGGCAGTTTTATGTATTCCCTAGAGGCGCAATCGTCCAATCTTGTTCAACAGCAGTGTCGGCCATCGAGCGCGCGCAGGCGGCATACGTACCCTGGCACCATATGCACCCGCTCGAATGTGATACCGGTTATATGCCACTGGAGGTCTGCCACTGACGACCGAAACACATCTTCTAACAAATAATATGTATTTCTTCATATTAGCTTCGGGAGCTATATATACCAGCGTGGCGCGTTGACGCTTCGTCAAGCAATCTGTCAGAACAAACCATCCCTCTGTTTCCATACATGTGTATGGTGAAGCTTATCTATTGCAAGATTTTTACGGACCGTTGACGGGACGCGTTCGAGAGAAACTCTCTCCCCCCATCACAATCTACATGTGCTGAAGCGGTTGGTTGGATGACGCCTGGTGAATTTCGAAACCACTCAGCAACCTGTCCGACCCGGATGATACCCCAGTCTTGAGGAGCCATCGGCGCTTGACCAGGAACACGAGGGAAGCTCTGCGTGGAATAAATACTTACTTTCAAATCATTCTTTAGCATGCACTTGAACTTCACACAGGATCTTCCAGTTTGCCCAGTTTTGGGAGTTCGCACATGCTAACTTTCCAATACAAACACATCGCCTAGTTTTCACGTCCCGAAGCTAGACTCTATCTTATCATTTTCTTAAAATAACTTCGCCGCCGAGCCTATTGCACCGGACACTTCGCACAACTTGAAGCATTGAAATACTCAAACTGCATCCATTTCCCGGCCCTTGCTTGATTTTTTTTTCGCCTTCATTTTTGGGATCTATTGCAGTTTTTCTCGCATCAATTATCAGCTTTATCAACTTTCTACAGAAATCCACTGCAAATTACTTTTATGGAATATATGTATGCGGCTACTTTCTACCTTTCCACTCAATTGCCCTGCCATTGCATTGCGAGCTGTTGAAGCCTTTTACTTTCTGTATCTACACCTCGTGGCTGACATCAGAATTTTGGGAGCTACGTGACGAAAGGCTATCCATTCCCAGTCAAAATTGAATCGCCACTACTCATTGGAGAAAAGCATGATGAATCGACCAAATCTACCTCCTTTGCGTTTAGCTTTGGCTCAGTGTGATGATCGAGACCATTCCAACCGCGATACTCCACACCGCTCGGGCTACTCAACCCGGCTGCATAGCGACCTTTCGTTTTACTCTCTGGCCTCTTCTTCAACCCCTCCAACTAGCTCTTCTTCTAGCCACATCCCATCGCCAAAGCGAGATCTACTGCCATCTTTTATGATTGAAAATTTGGGATTCTCCTCTTTGAAACCGAGTATCAATCATTCAGAAAGGCGCAGCAGCGGCAGTGCCTACCGAACATCGGGAAGTCGACAACATAACTACATCGAACTCAAAGACAATTTGGGGCATGATCGCGAGGTGCAACCGGAAAGAAAATCCACACGTGGCATCAGTCCATGGGAAAAATCGAACCCACAATTCTTCAGGTCCTATCGCACGACACAAAGTGAAAATCCTGGGGTTCCGCATGATAAGCCTATGTCACCTTATCATTCCGAATGCCATACTGTCTCCGGTGGCATACCCTTTAATCACTACGAACGGCCAGAGCTTGAAGTCAACAAAACATCTAAAGCAATCAATAGTCAACTACCTCCTAATCTTTCCGATCAAAGCGCCAATCTTGAGGAGCCTCAGTACGGTTGCGCGGACCCAGGAGGCCGGCCAACTCAAGAAGGTCCAGAAATTTCCCCATCATACCGAGTCCAACCCACAGAAACGGCATCAGGAACACGTTACTTTTGTCCAGTCTGGGGGTGCGGCAAATCCTTCACGAGAAATTTTAATTTAACACAGCACATATCTGCAATACATAAAGATGAAAGGCGGTTCCAGTGCACCTAGTACGTTTAGTTGCCCTTCAAACTCACAAGGTGGCATTTATTATATCCAATTGCACATGAAGGCTGACCATATTTCCGTATCATTTTTTATTCTCGTTCCAGTTGCATGGCATTATTTTATCGCCGGAATGACCTAACACGACATGAACGGGCGCACACGGGAGTACGGTAAGTTTACTACATCACTTCTCCTTCACTTTCTTGAATCACGACATATCAATTTGGATTCTGAAAAATCAAATTTTGACAAAATTGATTCTAAAAATGGGATTCAAAAAATTCTTCTCGAGGTTTTCACAGCCCTTACCAGTGCGAATGCGGTCAAAACTTCACAAGAACTGATCTTCTGGCCCGACACAAGCATTCTGGAAACTGTGCTTATAAAAAAAAATCATAGCATCCACCCGCCTGTTGAAATGTAATATTTATTTCTTTACCACAATCTGAAAGTTGTTCTTGTTTGAGTTTTCCTTCAGCTTAATTTTGATTTTGGGTTTCTGTTTTATATTCATTCTCTTTCAATTTTTTTTGTTTACTCAAAATAAGGCTACCATTCTTATTTTGTGTAATTAGCATTAATCATAAGGTCTTTCTCAGAAAATAATTGAATCCTATACTTCTTTTGGGTAGCTCCTGAGATTTGTGTAATCTAATTCAAAATAAGTACAACCCAGCAATATAGATTTCATCTTTATTTATGAAATGTGAACAATGGGATTGTTGAGATTAGGAGAGTTCAATTACAATTGTTGGAATACATGTAAATTGAGGGAAGATATAGGCCTAGATGTCTATTTCACAGCAAAATAGCTAATTGATGGTACAAGAGTGTAAGTATTGTTCCACATAATTAATAAAAAGGCTAACAAGTCCCTTCCTTGTGTTTGGATTTGTGGAAGACAAATATCATGACAAATGAAGGGAGTAGTGCCTAAGCTTGAGAGCATCTGTATCAGTTGTCAAATTAGAGTGGATTAAGCCACTTAGTCCAACAGCACAACCACACCAGACCAGATTTAGGCAGGATCATCTGTACATGTACCTTGTTGTCTGGAAGGAAATCCTTTCAGCTGTTGAGCATGTACCTTGCCGGCTGGAAGGAAACCCTTCCAGCCAGCCCTTTAAAGGGCGGGTATCGCTCGGATACCTGCTACGGCCAACAGATACCCGCCAGCGGGTGCGGATGCAGATGCAGATGGCCATTTTGCCGGAAAGAGTAGCCAGATATCCGGATGCGGAGCGACCATCTCTATTTCACAATGCTATGTGAGCATCTGGAGGCATCCCTTAATATAAAAACTGCCCCTCTGCTCTCAATTTTCCAAATGTCACTCCTTGATGCGTTATGAAACCTTGACATATGATCGGCTCTCATCTCTACAATTGTATCTATTTTATTCAATTTTTCAGTATTTCCGGTCATGAGGTAAAGGAACAAAATTTGATTCTCTGAGGAGGGTTTCTCCCCAGAGAACTGGCATGTACCAGTTCTCCAAAGAGGGTTTTTGAACTGGCATGTACCAATTCTCCAAGGAGGGGTTTTCCTCAGAGAACTGGTATGTACCAGCTCTCTGAGGAGAGTTTTTCCCCGGATAACTGGAATGTACCAGCTCTCTGAGGAGAGTTTTTCCCCGGATAACTGGAATGTACCAGCTCTCTGAGGAGGGGTTTTACCTGGAGAACTGGCATGTACCAGTTCTCCGAGGAGGGGTTTCTGCCTGGAGAACTTGCATGTCCCTGGAGTGTTGGTTCTCCAGTTCTCCAAAGATGGTTTCTCCCCGGAGAACTGGCACAAAAAAAATTGATTACCTCAGTTGAGCCAGCAACCAATGATTTGAGACCTTCCAAGGTTCAATTGCCTTGGTTGGCCAACCACCGAGGGCAATTTCATTGGTTGTCAATAACCAATCTTATGAAGGCTCAGTTGAGCTGTCAGCCAAGCTTGCATCAATTGGTGGGTGGTGGCTGAGGTTACCTTGGCTACCTACCAACCAAAGCATTAGAGTCATTGGTTGGCAGGCCTCCCAATTTTACCTTGGCTGATCCACAGCCGAGTTGAAATTGGTTATTGAAGCCCTTGGGTTGTGACTACCCAAGTTTAGCTTGAATTTTCTTAGCCAATGTTAAATTGGTTGTTTGCATCCCAGATTAATTGTGAGGCACACATCCAATGCTAATATGTTGGCAGTGATGAGGGTAATTGAGATAAACATGATGTATGATTCAATTGGTAAATATGTAATATGTAGCAAAATATGGCGGTAAAATGGAGTGTAAAATCTGAATATGTAATGATAATGAGGTACATTCAAGTGAATAAAAATTCAAATAATAGGAGCTATGGAAATGTATGGGTTACCACAACAGTAAAAATAAAGGGTCTTAGTTAAACGACTCCCAAATATTGGAGTTCCGACTCCCAAATATTTGGGACGTCGCTAAGACCCCCTGCGGACGGTCCGCAGGCCGCCACCCCCGGAGACGGGAGTCGGACCTCCCAAACCTTCAACAGGTTTGGGAGTCAATCCTCCAAAGAAAAAATAAAATAAAAAGATAAAAAATGAAAAACCCCGGGGGTTTTTGGGAGTCGATCTCCAAAAACCCCCAGGGAGGTTGGGAGTCGGCGCCGGACTCTCAGCGGCGGAGAGGAATCCCTCTCCACCGTTGAGAGTGCATACTCTCACCGGCCGAGAGGGATTCCTCTCGGCCGGTGAAAGAGTACACTTTCATCCCCCTCCCGGCCGGGGGTGAGAGGGTACACTCTCATCAACCGAGAGGGATTCCTCTCGGCCGGTGAGAGTGTACACTCTCATTGACCGAGAGGGATTCCTCTTGGCCGGTGAGAGTATACATCTCGGCCGGTGAGAGTATATACTCTCAGCGGCCGGGAGGAATCCCTCTCGGCCGGTGAGAGTATGCACTCTCAACGGCGGAGAGGGATTCCTCTCCGCCACTGAGAGTCCGGCGCCGACTCGCCACCTCCCTGGGGGTTTTTGAAGATCGACTCCCAAAAACCCCCGGGTTTTTTATTTTTTTTATTTTTTTTTTTGGGATGATCGACTCCCAAACCTGTTGAAGGTTTGGGAGGTCCGACTCCCATCTCCGGGGGTGGACGGCCTGCGGACCGTCTGCAGGGGGTCTTAGTGACATCCCAAATATTTGGGAGTCGGAACTCCAATATTTGGGAGTCATTTAACTAAGAACCAAAATAAAAAAGATGTATTTTTGAGCCAAAACAATCCTTAGTCACTCACTACAACTCCCCTCATATCTGTAAGAGCTAGCTCTCCACTGCCATCAATATATACAACAGGCTCAATAGTCTGAGGGAGAGATTTCTAGGACCATGTCTGGATTTCCAATAAAGAGCTAGATCAATAGGGATGGTTGTGAAATCTTTCTGTATATAAATAGTTAATAGATGAAATAGAAAAAAAAGAAAGGAGAGCTTAAAGGAAAAGAAGAAATTAAAGAAAACAAGAGAAATGATGATCTTACCTATCTCAATGGGGATGGTTATTAGATATCTATAAAGCTAGGAAGGCGGGGAGGCAATGATTATAAGAGTCAATTCAAGATCTGATGATTATGTAATCCTGTGTGATAGGTTTGTGAACTCATGGTACAAGGGTTCACAATATCTCTCATAGCTTAGAAGTTACATGTATTTAAACCTGTCACAGGATATTTCTTGCTTTTTTACTACAACCATAGCTTATTTTGAATACAGGCTTCATATTGAATATTGAATAAATTTTGAGGATATTGAATACCTTTTTTCATATTAATTTCCTTGTCTAGCTCTTATTGCACATTGAATTCCCTGTCTGGCTCTTATTGCATATTGAACTCCCTTGTTGACATACATTAGAGATGGCCCCAGTGCATCCGGATATCCGGCTACTTTTTCCAGGGAAATGGGCATCCAAACCCGCATCCGCAGCCGCCAGCGGGTATCCTTGGATACCCGCCCTTTAAAAAGTTGGTGAGGCACCGGCTGGAAGGGGTTCCTTCCAGTCAGCAGTGGCAAGGTACATGGAGCAGCGAGGTGCATGTACCTCTTGCCAGCTGGAAGGAAATCCTTCCAGTCGACGAGGTACATGTATTGTGTTTTGAAGTAACCTTGGACTCAAAGTCAAAAAAATCCGGATTTTTAAATGAAATTTAATTATAGATTATGGCATCAAAATCCTATGATGTCATCATCGGTTATGATAGCACTGTAATGTTGAATTATGATCAACGGCTCACTCCAAACCACTCCAGACCAAACTTCAATACAATCCCCATATCAAACAACCAACCCTGCCAGTTACAACATGTCACGATTTGGTATTGACCTCTTTGCAAGGAAGAATCCACCACCACGAATGGGATACCACACCGACGCAGAGAACTACCACATCCATGGCATTGGTCCTCAACCGGCAAATCTTACTGTGAGTGCTTTACATCCAATGTTTGTTTGTGTTTAAGAAACTAAAACTTCTTGTTAATCCTGCAGCCCCAGATGGTGCATTGCAGCACTACGTTCCTACTGTACTGCCCCAAACAGGACAAACCGGGGTGGAACACTGTTAAACCAGAGAATGTTTTTCCAATAGTCTTTGAGATAGGATCATTAAGCCTCAAGGATTTTCAAAGCCTTGTTGCCACCGAGGCCAACAAGCTTGTGGATGATGCTGGTGGACTTATCAACAACGCAGTCGAAACTGGATCTCCCCGTATCAACTGGAAGGTTTCCTTGGCTCTCAAGTCGGCACCGGAGTTCAAAAAGGCCCTTCAATATACTGTAAACGAAGAAAAGTCATATGATCATTGGATAAAGACTATGAAAGATCTCAACGCTGATCACACTCACGCCGGTCTTTATGTCCACATGGTCAATCCAACATCGATAGCAAAAAAAGCGAAGGTGGCGGTTGATATGAAAGCCCATGTTTTGACTCAGCATGCGGCCCAGAAAGCTGGGAGCTCATCAGCAACTGGAAATCAACATGGACCGCCAAAAGCCACCGATTTCAAAGCAGTCAATGTAATAATGGATCAGATTTACGCATTACACCCACCCAACATCAAGTACTTGGATAGGATCCCGGTGTTTATCCATCCGACGGAGCACAGCCAGTACATCCCCTTGACTGGGAAGAATGTCCAAATTTGGGCACATGCTATTGTGAGTGCCCTCCTATAAAAAGATGCCATACCAAATTAAATACAAAGCTGACTTGAATCATTTAGATGCAATCTGTTGATGGGGTTACTCTTCATTCACCCCCACCAGAACTCAAGTTTGAAAAACTCTCTGCCTACAAGAAGAGAAAGCTATCTCACAGCACCGTCCATGATGCCAGTCCTCCAACTTACCAAAGTTCATCACGCACTCAGGAATCGGAATCGGACAACTCCTCCGTAGTGGAACCAGACGAAAACCTCATGGCAGAGTATGTTGACTTTGTCAAAATCAAACCGACTAAGAAAGAGGAGGTCCTGAGAATCCTCAACGAGAAGGATGTCACCAATCCGAAATTCTTCCAATCGAACAGCATCACTCGAGAGGATATGAGCCACTGGGGCTTAACCCCTGGCATCATTGCACAGTTAAGAGACAACACTAAGAAGTTCGAGAAGCGCCCAGCTCCTCAATAGCACATTTTCCATCTTTTCATTTCCTAACTCAAATGTGTAGCGCATCTTTTCACTTCTTAACTCAAATGTGTAGATTGCTGTCTTTATCAAGAACCTAGCCTTAAGTCCATTTTCTCCTAGCCTTAAGTCCATTTTCTCATTCAATAGATTGCTGTCTTTATTAGAATTCTGTATGACATCGATTCGCTTTAAATGTTGTTTTCGTCTTCGTCTAAGCTGAACTTAATATGCAAATTCTGACCTCCAGCTAATTCCTTCACAAATCGAGTGACTTGGCCATCTTGCTGAGTGCTCAATCCGTCGGCCCTTCTCTTAGATTCTTCGATGAGACTTAAAGCGTCGATCAGTAGACCAGGAGGCCAGGATAAGTTTAGACTTTGGACACGTTGAGGGGGGTTGTTTGAGATCTGGGCCATCGAAGGCTTGGCGTCTTGGGCCGGAGGGCTCATGGCTTTCGAAGGATCAACGGCCGCCACTTGCTCCGCTGCCGTCGTCTTCATGGCCTCCTTCTCCGGGTTCTTGAATCTCGCCTGTTGCCGTTCCTCCCGATGAGCCCGCACCGAATCCTCAGAACCCATCGCAATCATCGCGCAAACCGGATTCATCAACAGTCCATAGACAAACCCATAGACCGCTTTGATCAACGGGGCTGTAAAGTTACCATTCCCAAGGTTCTCGTCAACCCAAATGGCTACAACAACAGTGGGTCGCTGGTTTAGTATCTGAATCTTTGGAACAAGGCCGCTGTCACGGCTTATCTACGCTTTTCCACTACAATAACGGTCTGTCCTTCCGCCCTCTTCTTTCTCTTTATGTCGCAACGCTACCTCGGCCAATTTGACTGACCTTTCTAACGTTCAAGTAAACATTGGTGCAATTTTGAACGAGACGGCTGTCGCTGTCGATGCCTTAGCTGAAAGATAACAGACTCGGCCGCTGATACACTTTTCCTCTACGATAAAAAACAGATAACGGACTCGGCCGCTGATACACTTTTCAACTGCGATAACGAACTCGGCCGCATCCAAGCCATCAGGTCGAGTGGCGGATGTATCAGAAGACACCTGATCGGCTAAGGAAATGATTTCGATTGCGTCTTGGGAACGGGACTGGGACGGACTAGGAGAGATCTGAGGCAAGCCCGAGATCGAGTAGCTTCCGTAGCGGACCGCCTCGAGTGACTTGCGTGCCGAGGGCGAGATCGTCCGGTTCCGGCTCACGCTCTGTTGGGATCGGCTCCGTTCGAGGCTGGACGAGGACGGACTAGGAGAGATCTGAGGCGTCCATCAAAGAGTTCGTCATGGTGCTCGATCAAGATTTCAATGATATCATCCGAAAACCCACAATACCAAGACTCAATATCTCTCGCTTGTATTGAATTCGTTTGGAGGAGATTTGCTTCTTTATGAAATCACCATCGATAAGTCTCTCAGATGGACGCCAATCGATAAAGATTTCCGTGATTTCCGGTGACCTTTCTCCGCGGTCGTTGGAGCATCACAACCTGTGCCAATCACTAGGAGGGTGTAAGGCATGCCAGCGCGATCATAAACATAAACCAGGGGGGACGGTGTGGCTAGTTGGGTTTTGTTTCAAGTAGTAGAAAATAGTGTTAGAATAGGCATGTCCGTAGTGTAATATCATTGATGAGGCAGTGTTTGAACGTGAAAAGAGAAAAAATAATCTTGTTGATACTGATAGAGTTTTACAGTGAGGAAAGAAAGGTGAAAGAAACAGTTGCTAATCCGTTATACAGTGATCGTTAACCGAGTGATTGTTATACAGTGATCGAAGAGAAAGGAAAGATTGTAGCAAGGGATCTAGCAATGTCCAAGTCAGTTTTCAGGGACACAGTATCCGCAATGACGGTAGAGCTTGAAGCAAAACTCTGCCGTCATGATTTCAGCCGCAACTCGGCGGATCTCCCATTCGAGGTCGTTAGTTCGATTCAAAATTTGTGTGGCCCATAGATTTTGCTTGATTGCAGCAAAGCAGAGCTCGATTGGGTTCAATTCCGGACAGTAGGGTGGAAGGTAAAGGAGTTGTACCCCAGCTGCGTTGCAAAGCTCTCTGACACGGTCACCTCGATGAGTGGTAGCGTTGTCGCAAACAAGGACAGAATTGGAGTCAGGGTACCTATTCATTCGAGGGAGCTAAAGAGAAGAAAGTCAGTTCCAAAAACCCCAGGAAGACTTGAAAAATAAGAAACCCACCAAGTCAAATTCTAAAAAGTGCTCAAACTTGCGACCGACGAAGGTCGCCAAAGTAGTGGTGAGGGCCAGCATTCCATCAAGTGAGATGGCCGGAAGTAAGCTCAATCTCTCTGCATTCTGGTTGGTGAGGAATCTTTCGGAGGGGGTCCCTTTCTTTGACCTCGCAAACGATTGCAACAGATCCTTGTCAGTGAACGAGCTTTCATCTGAAGAAAGCAAAAACACAGATGCATCAGCTGATGTTAACAATTGATACAATGCTTGAAAACTCACCGGTAAATACAAGAAAATCAGCAGGGAAGAACTCCATTCGTTCAACATATGCGTACTTGGCAGTAAGTGATTTTCGGATGTTCTTTGTGTCTGGTTTTTTTAAGGTGATGGATAAACGCTCGACAAGGGTCCTGTGAACACCAGTAATACTAAGGAGGACGCCAGAGGCATCATACAATCGCTCTCGAATTTCGTCCAGGAAGAGGCCAGGCTCTGATCGGACAAGCTGGATCATGAAAGTTGACTCATCTTGTGTGAGGCTAGCAGGTTGTCCACGTGCCTCATAGGTATTTGTATTCAAGGGGGAGAGCCGAATACTATCAGCTTGTATTGGCAGTGATTGCAGCCCATGAGAGTAGAGCTTCCAGAATGATTGGCTCACTTTGCAAGTGATACTCAAAAGGTTGAGAAAAGGTTTTTGATTTGGAGTTGGCAAAGTTCAAGCGGGTTAGTGAGATGGTGAAGGCGCCAGAAGTTGAGTATCCGATTGTCACCTGCTTGTGTCAAATCCACCACATCTGCTTCAATTCAGAATCTCTGCTGGTGTCAGCCCAATTTCATTGTAAAGCTCACCCAAACTTCCGCCTCATTGCCTTCCAGGTATCCTATCAAAGTAATATCATCATTGTGGAAAGATGACCTTATTCGATCTATGAGCTCGCCGCGCGACTTTGAAGGCACTAGATCCTGTACTTCCTCCATTGACCTTCAGCCAGTTAAATTGACATAACCAATTTCAGTACTTTTGTCCAAACTTGAAGGATTCATGTTGAAGTAGCTCGCCCGACTGGAAGGAAACCCTTCCAGTCAACGAGGTAGATTTATGTACCTTGCCGGCTGGAAGGAAACCCTTCCAGCCGGCCATTGGCCTTGGGTATCCGTTTAGATACCCGGGTATCCGCTGGAAAATCAGCGGAAAGGGAACATCCGCACCCAAACCTGCATCCGCTGGCGGGTATCCACTACAGCGGGCGGGTATCCGCCAGCGGATAACAGGTATCCGCAACGGATACCCAGAGACCATCTCTAACATACATGCATTCCTTTGTAGTAGAACCTTGTAGGCTAGCTAAGATACTTTGATGGTTTCCACTAGACTAGCTGAAAATCCTCAAGGCTGTGCCAGGCTATTTAAATTCCCTCATCGTATTTTCAGACCAGTTAAAATGTCTCAAATCCTGTACTCTGGAGTGAAAATCCCTCACTTTTGTCTATATAAGGAGGCATCTGCCGGCCAGTTTTTCTCTCCATCATCCCACCAGTGGACCAGATCATCTCAAATCACCTTAAATACTGAGAAACAAATATAAGTGACAGCCATAAAAATATGTCATAATTCATATTGAAATGCACACATGATGCTTGCATCACCATCATATGCCATCCCAGGGCTATATCTGAAATCACAATTTACATTTATGGTGTAATAAGCCAGACTAGGTTTGCATTTTTGTTTGATCCCTTACCTCTCTCCCAACCCTTTGAAATGTGAGTTCCAAGCAAAATTCACAAGGTGAGAGTATAGATTTAGCTCGAGTTTATGACCTAATGATCCTATGGTGATTTTGGCAATCCCTCCTTTCCAGTGCATACTTTTGAGGCAACGGAGTGGGCCCATGAGGGCTGATGTTCACCCAAAATCAGGCAAGATTCAGAGGATTCAGAAAAATCAATCCAGATGGTGGGGAGTTTGATGATTACAGATTTATGAAAAATTCCATTGGAATTGGAAAATAAGGGCCTGTACCATGGCACCCCAGCCAATTTATTTCCATTTTTGCCATTTTTATTTTTCACCAACCAAAATTTATTTTGGGGTTGGCACTGAAATTCTGGCTTCTGTACCAATGGTGGGCCAGTTACACTAACAGCACTACAAAAAGTGTTGGATTGCATTTTGACAATGTGCGGTAACATTGCATGTGACATGCGATGTTACCGCACATTTTCACATGTGATGCAATACCTTTTGTAGTGCTGTAGTGTTAGTGTAGTGGAATTCCGCTAAACTTTAGCGTGGCAGAATTCAACCACATCTGCACTAACACTAAGCGCATAGGCCCCCAGAAAGGGCCCACTACCCTACGCTAACACGCTGGTTAGCAGTTTTTTGGGGGAATGATAATGGCAAGCCATTCCCCCTTGCGCACGCCAAACTGCATGCCATCCACAGATTGGTGTGTGTGCCCAACACCATTGCAGAATGGTGTGCAGGCAGGCACGCCACTCGCCTGCCTGCACACCAAGTATATGCGGTCCTAAACACATATTTATATTCATTTAGGACCTGGGCTGTCCCATAGGACCCAGGCATGGGTCTTATGGGATGGCTGCAGGGATTTTTTTCAAAAAAAAAAGAAACAAAAACCAGCCCCCTTGGCCTAGAGAGGCCAAGGTCACACTGCAGGGAGGAACCCCTCCCGGCAAGCGTCTACATGCCAGATTGTTGGGAGGAACCCTTATACCAGCTCATTGGAAGGGATTCCTTTGCACAAGCTGGTTTTTATACCAGCTTGTTGGAAGGAATCACGTCCTACCAGCTAAGATGTACACCAGCTTTTCAGGAGGGGTCTTCGGCAAGCTGGTATGTACACCAGCTTGTCAGAAGGAATCCCTTCCAACAAACTGGTATGTACACCAGATTGTTGGGAGGGGTTCCCCCCCCCCCCCCCCCGGCAAGCTATCCCCCATTTAGGGACTGCAGCCCAAAAAACACTGCCCATTGCGGTCCCCATTGGCGTCTGTATTTTATGGATTTCATCCTTGGTCCCTCTCCAGACCCTGGATCCAGGGATTGGATACATAGGGACCAAGGACCAAAGATTTTACACCTCAATGTGAATGTCAGACAACATCACACTTTAATCTAGTGTGACAGCTTGTCAACACTACACCAATATTGGTGATTTAAGGACTGCCCGGTGTGGCAGAACAGGGTTCTGAGTCCCTACACACATTTCCAAGACAGTATTTTTGATTGATACAGACCCAAAAATACAGACTGTGGTGGAGATGCTCTTACACAAGTCTTCCCCCTGGTGGGAGGCTCACTGGCGTAACTGGCTGGGTGAAAAGTACCCCCTCCTGCAGGGAAGGACTTATATACTAAATATACTAAATCACATTTATTGTTTGAGCCAGAAAAACAGTTTTGGTGGTGGCCACTTTGTGCCCCCCACCACTCATTCATCATCATTCAAGTTTATTTTTGGCTTAGGTGGATGAAAGATCTGCATAATCTGGATCTTTCTATATTTCTTTCATTGCAAAAACCTGTTTGGTTCTGGTAGAAAATGTGCAATGAAGCCCATAATTTTAAACTTTGATTTGCAAATTTGGCAGAGAGGCTCAAGTGCACTCCCAGTGGAGGACTTCCCGTCATCTAAAATGTAAATTTAGAAGGAAGGGCTAAAGCTTATTGGCTGGTGAAAATTGTTCGACCTCAAAATTTCCCCCGCAAACAAAGTTTAGCCGGTCTGTCTAAAATTAGCCATCTGGTCGACGGGAAGTCCTCCAGTATAAGCATATTTTATGCCTGTAAAATGAGAATTTCCCTTTTTTCTGTTTGTTCTTTCAAAAAAGATTGGTATGGAAATAAAATTATGAAAAAATACAGACAGATCAAGAAACAAAAGTACAATGGAATTTTGAGAAGAATAGCATCAAAGCCAGAGGTGAACACACAAAAAAGGGTCTCAAAATTGAATTGTAATCACACCTGGCTCATGTCACCTTTGAGTGTATGTAAGCCTCTAGATCTGGTGAACCGTGAGACTGGGCTGCCGCCCAGACCTGCCCACCCGGCACTCACCACGAGAGGCTCAGCTAAGCTCGAGCCAGCCAGTGCTTGGACTTAGTTAAGTTAGCGAAGCCAGATCCTCCCTCGCACTTGATCAGAGGCAGGACCTGGCCGGATAACCTAGCACCCTTCCCCAAACTAAATCCCATCCGGATTGAATTAGCTAAGTTAGCCCTTGCCCTGCCAATGCTAAGCCGCATGTCTGCTGTATGACATGGGTCAGGGTACAATATTTAAATGTGCAGTTTTTCCTCCAGCTTGGCTTTGTTCTTAGGGTCCCAAGCGAAAGCACTACTCAAGCTCGGCTGTCGCCTCCACCGCAACATGGCCTACGTTTCTTTAGGTTTCTTTTCCCAGCAAAGTAGCGGCACATTGTAGCTACTTGAGCAATATATAACATAAGCTTGAGATGTTTGCTTCGGTGAACAGCTTGTGGCCTAAAGATACCCACACATGATGCGATTGGTTTGTATCAAAATTTCGAGTGTTTGTCGTCATTTTCTTGCTGTTCGGCGCACAGCTGTCCATCTTCTGAGTTGGCCTTACCGGAGGTATTGATGTAAGTGTCGCCAAGGCCTTCAGTCCGGTATAAGGAAACTAGTGGGTCACGAGGTTCTTTCGAAATCGTCCGACGAGCCCCATCTTCTCTCTGCTCTACATATATTCGCTTTTGCCCTGCAAGATGATTTATAAGAAACCCCAAAAGGCTGTTCCTCATCGATCGAGACATTAATCATCACCGCAGTTAGTCAAGCGAAACGAGTATGTAGGAAGGGCTGAAGACTCCAAGACTGAGATCACCTCGCCATTCATGCCCCGACTTAAGCTCGTCTATACATATTCGTATGTAATTGGTCGCCCAGAGTTTTGTAACCCAACGTGGTCCACTTTTGAGGCGAAAAAGATCGGGATGAGGATCAGGAGGTATGCATGCTAAGCTAGACATATCCGATCGCCCAAATATACCGAGGTTTCGATGTATTGCCATCGACTCATCATCATCATCATCATCATAACCCGCATTACACACGACAAGATATTGCAAGACAATAACATTAATATGGGCACATATCCTCATCTGCACATGAGGATTTGTGCAAATGAGGATCTCTACGTATGTGTATCTCGAGTTCTCGACTAAGGACAGGTGCAAAGAAATGCAGACATACGGTGAGACAAAGGTGCAATTCGAATTTGAGATCGCGTAGTTAGAAATTGATGACTTAATATGGCGTCAATATTCTTTCGACGGCGTCCAGCGTATCCTTTGAGAAAGAATTTGGCTTCCTGTTAGTCATCCGAGCTTGTTGGACATATCAAAACTTGGTCGCACAAGTCCACCAGCGGGATTGCAATTTGCAGGTGCTGGGGGAGCAGATGGTTGTTTGGTGGCAGCGCTTTGGAATTAGTAATGCTGCCTTGATGCTATGAGAATCGACCTTTCCACAGCTGTGCACACACCCATACCCCGGTGCTAGAGGATGGAGGCTTCAAGGGCATCGTATGTTTACTGGTTGCTCTGCCAGTTTTTCGAATATTTAAAGGGCAGCTCTTCTGACCGATATTGGTTTCCCCAGGCAGCTTCCTTCCGCCATCAGTTTGTGAGAAATCCCAACCAGACTTCTTGTCAACAGAAATATCTCCAACTTTGCAAAGTTTCTCAACCTGCTATCAAAGCTTTCTTATCCGCCATCAACATCAAAATGTTGAAGTTAAGATACGTGATCTTGGCTTGCGTGTTGGGTACGCATTATCAATCAGTTTTCCTCGAACTGTGTCTTGTGCTTTTTGAAGTTCTATTATAACTGATCAAGTACTTTTCTGGTCTGCTGATGAACTTCTGCAGCTCTCGAAGCCTATGGGTTACACTTGGGTTCAGTGTGAGTACCAGAATTCTTCTTCAGTTTCCACTCACAGTCCTTGGAAATTCAAACTGTCTAATTTGTGAGAATCACTGTTGCAGAATGCCATCGGCCCAAATATCGAAGCGAGATTACCACGAAGGTAGTGGTTATGCACCCGACAAGCCCCCATCACCCCCACCGGCCCCACCAGTTCACAAGCCCGAGTCCCACCCGCCGATCTACGGCTTTCCAAAGCCCCCACCGGCCCCACCAGCACCACCGGCCCCACCAGTTCATAAGCCCGAGCCTGCACCGCCGCACTACGGCTTTCCCAAGCCCCCACCGGCTCCACCAGCTCCACCAGCTCCACCGGCTCCACCAGCTCCACCGGTTCCCAAGCCCGAGCCTCAGCCGCCGCACTACGGCTTTCCCAAGCCCCCACCGGCCCCGCCGGCTCCACCAGCTCCACCGGCCCCACCAGTTCATAAGCCCGAGCCTCAGCCGCCGCACTACGGCTTTCCCAAGCCCCCACCAGCCCCACCAGCTCCACCGGCTCCACCGGCCCCACCAGTTCATAAGCCCCTGCCCGAGCCTCACCCGCCCAGCTACGAAGCTCCCAAACCCCCACCGACCCCACCAGTCCATAATTCCGAGTCTCACCCGCCTAGCTACGAGACTCCGAAGACCCCACCTGTTGAGAATCACGATGGCTCCAAATATGGTGATCCGAAAAAACCCGGTCATTCCGAATACCATGATCTCAAGAAGCGCGATTACTCCTCCTACGAGGCTCCAAAGAAACCAGAGCCCCCCAAGCACGAGACTCCGAAGGCTCCACCACACAAGCCTGACTATTCCAACTATGCTCCTCCAAAGTCCCCACCACCCGCGCCACCTTCGCCACCACCCAAGCACGAGGAACCCAAGCACGAGAATCCAACTCCCAAACCTCCCTCTCACCCAGAGCCGCCCAAATACGAGGCCCCCAAGACCACTCCACCCCCGCCGCCCTCCAAACCCGAGGAGCCGAAGTACGGCAAGCCCAAGCCTTCTCCTCACGAGAAGGAACCGAAAGAAGAACCCAAGCCCTCAGGCCCCGGCTACGGCCCCCCAAAGAAAGACGGCTACGGTCATTGATAAGTCGTGGCTCACCTAGCGCTTGATCGACTGCGATCAAAGTCTTTTTATTATGCAGCTAGCCCAGTTCTTTTTTCCCCCGTTTTCTTTTGAGCTCAATCTACCTGTACGGACCAAGTGTATCATTTCTGTTGCTATCATGAGTTACTCTTAAGGGTGACCAAATGCCAATGATCTTGCAGATAACCTGCATTGAATCCATACATATAGCAATCTATCTTCCAACATGTCTTGTTTTTATCAAAAGAGAAATCCTGCTGAAAAATAAAATACAAAAAAAAATGCTTTCAAGTCTGTAATCAAAGCCAATTCTGTGCCGGGAATATGTCCAAGTGAGAACACAAAAGTGAGAATGAAAAGTCCAAACCGGAAGGCCTTTGAACATTGGTAGCTTTCAATGGATGCCATGGAAAATCTTCATTTGAGTTTTGAGGGAGATGATCAGGTAGTTTTTGTGAATGGCTAGATTCACTGAGTGCAATTGATCTTTACTGGCTTTGGCCTATGTCTTTCTGGAAGCAGTCCTTAAACAAAAAAATCTTGCGTGAGGCTTGAGGAATATCCAGTTTCTCCCTCTCCTGCGTTTTCTTTTTTTTTGCCTCCCAGATCTCTCATTTCCATCACGTATGTATCAGCACCAGTATTTTTTTTTCTCTGTTCTGCATCTTGCCTCTCCATAGATACCCTGCTTTTTTTTTAGTTTGTATTTATCTTTGACGTATCCAAACACACAGACAAACCAAAAAAAAACCTGTATTATTTTTGTCATGATGTAATTGAGTGAGTGTGGATGATTTTCTATACGGAATGCGGAAAAAATATGAATTGACGAAATTGAAAGGCTATGTAAGTTGATGTCTTTCAGATTCAGCAAATGAATCCAGACAATTTATCTACATTTCAGCTCCCACTTCCCCACAGCAAAGCCATTCCTTTTTATTATGAGTCATTTGATTCTAGTAAACCCAGGGTGCCGGCCCTCTAGTCAAAGCAAAGAATATTTGAGTCACCGAGACCGTGGAGACAAAATGATATCACTTGGCTGAGGAATGATATAAAGCGATGGTTGAAATCACAAGTTTCGAATCAATCAGACCCACACATGAGGGTGTAAACGCGAAGCTTTTCCTCAAACTATAGTCTTACCAGAAAAAAAAAAAAAACGGCGACTTGTGGTATTTCAAACAGACCAACAAAAAATAAGAAAAATGTGACTGCAGCTAGGGCAAACACGCGAGTGATCTAGATTGACCATGATTTCCTGAGTTGAGTTCTTCATTCCTCGCGTCAAAAAAAAAAATGGAAACACCTCATAGGAAACAACTTGAGCAAAGATTGTTCTTTCGAAAGTTATACATGTGACTGCTGCTCTATACGATAGATTGCAGCTTTGATCGCATGCTATTTTATCGGTGCTTGATCGACTACTCAGCAGAACAATCAAAGCAGTCTGGTAGTTGCAAAAAATTGTATCAGCCTGTGCATCTCGGTTTCATTATGAATTGAAGATACATGTGCTCACAAGGTCTTTGGGGGTTTGCGGCCTTGCTGCATTCATAAGTGCTATCCAGACTTGTGCTGGCATCGCGGCCACCGACCACTGTGAGGAAGAAGGTCAGGATTATATGAATAGAAATATTGTGACCGGCTGCTCCGAAGAATCATAGCACGTGATCAAGAATAACAGAGAAAACTTACCCAATGTGTTGGCATCTTTAGTGTGGAAGAAGTTTGTTTGGGTAACCTTTACGTGAGATTGGGCGCCGAGATTTGGGGTCGGAATTCGATAGCAATCGTTCCAAGTCATCTTGGAAACTATTGTTATCCGATCAACACATGTATCGGGACCGAAAATTAAACGACACCGAATCAATATTCTACTGTTTTTATTGGCTACACAAGGCGAGTTTATTATATGTCTTACGAGGGGCGCTACTACGACTAGGTCCGGTGTAACATTGACCACATTTAAAAAGTCTGTCCTCGGTGACGTAACAGCCTGGATAGTGATGAAGGAAGGGTTTTAAAAATCTGTGACTGATTGAAGAAACATATGCGGACATTGGAGCTTACTCGACTCGAGGCCATACGAACATTGCTGCATCGTCCCAGCCCTCGGAAGAAGGCTCTTTGGGACCTCGGAAAGTTGCACAGACGAGGAAAGGAGAGCAATCACACAGACCACATAAGCTGTTAACAAAGAAGCCTTCGCCTTGAACATTTTTGCAGGTCTGGAAAAAGTTTAACAAGAATAACTGTGAAGTGGAGTCTACTGGGTTGAATGGCCAAACGGACGCCGGGTGCTGAGTGGTAGATCACTTGCACGAGGAAGGTGTCGCTCTTATACCCTAACAAAACTGTTGGAGTGGCGCTCAACCCAACAGTCTTACGGAGGAAAGGGTACATCAATATTTCCATATTTCCATACATGCTTGTGAATATGTACCACTTGGTGCTTCACGAATAGTGCATCGTTGACTTCCAGCCAATGAGTTTAATGCATGCAGTGAGCGGCGCAGTCCGGTAAGAATTTCGTCTTACGCCCTGCACAGCTTCGCAGCCCCCACTGTTGAAGTTGGCATAGTGTCAAGCACTGTTGTGCACGATCTCCGGCAAAAAGCTGATGGCTGATGTGTTTTTCCTCTCGAGCGGATCACAACCGGCTTTAAATAGACCAGCTCGAGGGCTGCAAACTTAAATCAGTGCCCTAGACTGGCGCTTCCGAGCTCTTCCGAGTGGCTCTTCGCCTGAGTGGCTTTATCCCTATACTTTGAATGTTCTGCACCGGTTGAACATGTTAGTTTATCCGTCTCGGCCGCCGAGGAATATCTTTGTTAACCGTAGGCGTTCGACTGCTTGTCGCGTGCTTTTGTCAAAATCCTGCCAAAATTTAATTTGTGTCGATTCAATTCTGGGTACCATTTGCAGTCACTCCTTAGGGGAAAAAAAAACTGCATTCACTTTTCTCAGGTTTTTTCTTTTCTTATTGTTGTTCTTGAGGGAGCAGTCAGACCAGCAGTTTCTTCGCTTGTTTAGACCATTTTCCATCACCCTACTCATCCAACGTCGTCCTCACATTTCTCTCAAGATGATATTACCAGCTGAGCCAAGCTCAATTCTTAATTTACCTTGGGTGTTCGTCAAGTGAGCAGCATATGATACCGCGTGGGTGTGCGTATTTAGTGACCTTGAAAGATCGGCTCGGGGAGTGCTGGCCTCTAGTTTAACATTAGCAATAATTGAACACCCTTAATCAAGGAATATTGGCAAGTAAGAAAAAAAAATACAAATTTATTCAAGCTTCAAAGGAAATTAAACGGCTTTTTAAGAAAGAAAAAAAATCAAAATATAATAAAAAGATCACCCAAGTGATGAAAATGTAGGAGAATGCATATAATTAAGAGGAAGTACAAAAAAAAGAACAGGTGTGGAAGTTGGGATTGGTATGTAGTCGAGGTGAACCAGCCTCTCTCTACCGCTCTTTACTTCCCGTCCGGAAATCCGACCGACCGGTATCGTCGTTGACTTATTGACCACATCCGGCGGAGTCAGACCACTATAGAAAAACAAAAAAAGAGGAGGGTTAGTAAGGATGAATGAATGAATGATAACGACTAGAAAGAATGAGTATATGGTAAGTAAAAAAAAATAAAAAATAAAAACTTACACCCCACCATACCGGGTGACCCCATGAAGAAGCAGTAGATCCCGGTGCACAAGGCTAATGAAAGAAAGAAAATAGACCAGAAGAGGTTTTCGGGAACGAGAATCAGTCTCCTGACATATCGATGAAATCAAATGAAGGGAGAAAAAAAAAAGATGGATTAAAGAGACACGCGGACTGACCGCAGTTTGCCCGGGCGAGTTAGCGGGCTGAGCTTGCAAGTCAGCGGCCTTGAAGTGAGAGGGAGTAGCTTGCAAGCTAGCGGCCTTGATATTAGCGGTCTTCAGCTCGCTCTCGGGCGCGACGTTCTTGAGGCTGGTCGGCTCGGCGGGGGGGAGGCCGGCTTGGAAGCTGGTGAGCTCGTCAGATTGTCGCTCGGGCTCGTTGGGCTGTGCTTGGCCGGGTTGGTAGTCCCGAGCACCCTCCGCTTGGCCGTCTTGTCCTGCACTCTGGACGGTCCCGCTAGGACGCCTCTGCTGTTCTTGCATCTGTTGCAGATACTGTAACCGTCGTTGCTCCTGGTCCCGCATGATGGCCTGTCTCATATTGTTACCCTTTTAGAATCAAATGATAAAGAAGAATATTAACACTAGATCTCCATGTTCGGAGCAGGTACACGAAGAGGCTTGAATCTTACCTGGGGCTGATTGAGTCAGACATCAAGGGTCGAAAATGACGGAGAGAAAAGAATCGTCGCAGTTGGAAGCAGCTCGTCAGCGACCATGCGAGGTTCCCCCAAAAAAGGAAGGGTTCCGATAATGCTTACATAGTAATAGCCACCACCTTGAGAGGGCTGCTGATAATCGTTTCGATACCCATTGTTGTTGTTATCATTGTTATTGTTCCGGTTGGCCCACTGGGGAGAATAGTTAGAGCCGCCGTATTGTTGGGGATAAGAAGGCGAAGATGACATGCTGGAGTCCATCTTTTAAATTCTCGGCGAGTTTATTTACTAGGGCAAAGAGCTCAGGAGACTTGTGGGAGCAGTATGTAGTATGAGACCGAGGAGCAACGGTTGAAAGGTGTTGAAGATGGGGAGACAAAGGTGGGGAGTGCTGACGGAAAGCATCTAATAGAGGAAACGGACGCGAATATATACCCGATACAACAAGCATACGGCACAAGACTGTGGAGAGCAAAGAGGGAAGAAGTAATGGCGAAACCAAGGCCTAGGGGACTCAAGTCACCCGGGCTGAACTTGTCCCCGGCGGTTGTAGTGACTCAGTGTGATTGGCAATCCAAGTTGGGCAAACCCGGCGGTCGCCACGGATTCGGGCTATAAGCTCACAAGGGAGTTACGGCCGACAGTGTTTAGACTGGTCTAGCCGAACCGGAAAGTTACACAGATGTGGTGTATATCATCATCAAAGAAGGAAAACAAGATTTTTTTAACAGAAGGGGAATTGGGGAACATGATACGGCGCGGTGAGATCGTGAGGTTTGAACGAACGCAACATATGACACAAGTGAACATAAATTTGTGAAATTGCTTCTTCGTAAACGTGCAAGTCTTCGTCAGGGGTCTAAACAAGAGGGAAGGTTTTAGATACATCAATCTAATCCTTGTAAGTTTCTCGAGCCCATTTGGCGGCAGCAACCATGTTCTTCAAAGAAGCCTCGGTCTCGGGCCAAGCACGGGTTTCTAGGGAGGAAAGTAACGAGAACGGCGGAAAGCTCAGTCAACAGATGTTATGAAGGGTGTGTATTCTTCAAGATCTTTTACTCACTCAAACCACAATCGGGGTTGATGAAGAGCAAGCTCGGGTTGACGGCCTTCAAGGTATCCGCGATTTTCTGTTGGATTTCTTGCTGGGAAGGTACTCGAGGGGAGTGGATATCTTTGAGAGACAAAAAGGCGAGTCAGTAACAAGCAAAATGACAAACTCTGCTTATCGTTCGTAGATAGATGGGGAACTTACCGTAGACACCGGGGCCGATTTGGTTAGAGTAATCAACCGAGGCAAACACTTTCAAAAGCTTGTGGTCGGATTTACTAGCCTCGATCGAGATGACATCGGCATCCAATCGAGCGATGTCTGGAGAGAAGAGGAATGATGTCTTGTTAGAAGTGTTTCTGATAATTTGCCAGAGAAAGGTAAACAGGAAACAAGACGAAGGCTCACGTGACATGATTTCGTTGAAGTCGGAGTAACAGAAGTGAGAGTGGGTTTGAGTACGATCCTCAACACCAGCAGTTGCCAACTTGAAGCTGTCGACAGCCCAGTGGAGATATTCGTCCCAGTCAGACTTTCTGAGCGGCATTCCCTCTCGAATGGCGGGTTCGTCGACTTGGATGGCAAAGATCCCAGCCTTCTCGAGATCGCATACTTCATCCCGGAGTGCAAGGGCCAACTGTCGGGATTGGACCTCTCGAGAGACGTCAATACGGGGGAAAGACCAAGCCAAGATGGTCACAGGTCTAACAAAAAAAAGAACAGGTGGTATTAGCCACTGGGGGTAAATAGTCCACAGTGAATTTCAGCAACATACCCAGTGAGCATTCCCTTGACGGGGAGCTTGGAGAGGGATTGGGCATATGCAGACCATCGGGTGGTCATTGCTGAGGGTCGGGCAACGTCAGCGACGATGATTGGAGGTCGCACGTAACGCGAGCCGTAGGATTGAACCCATGCGTTCTCAGTGAAGACGAATCCCTTCAGCTGTTCACCAAAGTACCTGTTTAAAAGAACAATGATTATGGGTAAGCAAAGGTTCAAATGACTCATATCAATGCGAATGTTGAACTGACATGACCATGTCGTTTCTCTCAGCTTCACCGTGGACCAACAAGTCGAGGCCGCAAGATTCCTGGAATCGTACAACGTGTTCGATTTCCTTTGCGATGAAGTCATCATACTCCTTGGCGGTAATCTCGCCCTTGGTGAATTTGGAACGAGCAACTCGGATCTTTTGGGTCTGGGGGAAGGAGCCGATGGTTGTAGTAGGGAACTTGGGGAGCTTGACGACTGCACTTTGAGCAACACGTCGTTGAGCGAACGGGCTCTTTCGGTTGTACATCTCGGGTGTAACTTTCGAGAGTCGTTCACGAACGGAAGCATCACTTTGAGCCTCAAAGTCACGTCTCTTCTTGATGGAAACTGCGTTGACTTCAAGTTTCTGCTTGACAGCGTCGTCCACGCTGGATGAAACAGCCTTGGCCAAAGTGCTTACTTCTTCACACTTCTCGAGGGCAAATGAGAACCAATCTTTTTGCTCAGCGGGCATCTTGATCTCGCCGGCAAGGGAGATCGGGGTGTGGAGCAGGGAAGAGGACGTGGCAACGATGACCCGGTCCTCACCGAGAACTGAGACGGCTTCCTTGATGACGCTAAGTGATTTGCCCATGTCATTCTTCCAGACATTACGGCCGGAAACTAAACCGAGCGACAGAGCAACTTTGGTTGGCTTGAGTAAATCAAGGGCCAACTTGATCTGCTCGGGTTTACCTCGTTCGGTGAGATCGAGATGGACAGCATGGACGGGACATTGGGCAAGGGAAGGAAGGATGGCTTCGGCACTTCCAAAGAAGGTGGTGATCGTGATGGGGACCGATTGTGCGGCCTCGGCCAACTTGGTGTAGGTCGCAATGAGTTCTTTGCCGAGGGAGTCGGCCGAGTCCAAGACAAGTCCAGGTTCGTCGAGCTGGAGGGATTTGACACCAGCAGCAACCAATTTCTTGATCAATTCGACGTACACAGGCACGAGTTGATCTAAGAGCGTGATGGGTTCGTAGTCTTCGTTACCCGATCGAGGAGTTTTCCCCATGAGGAGGAAAGAAAGCGGGCCAAAGATTGCTGGCCGAGTTTCGATTCCGGCAGCCTTGGCCTCCAAATATTCATCAACTGGCTTTTGATGGCATAACTTGAATTGGGTGGCTTTTGAGACCTCAGGGACGATGTAATGATAGTTCGTGCCGAGGTACTTGTTCCTATGTACAGATGTGTGATAAATAAGCTTGGAGATTTTAAGATTATGTGATCAAAGGAACAACGAAGAAAATGATTGCTCACATCTCGCAAGCGGGGAGATCGACTCCATCCCTTTGACGGCCTCGTCCCATGGCAAAGCTGAGGTCCAGGGGGCTAAGTTTGGCATCATAGTACTTCGAGGGCACGGCGTTGAACATGGTACAATGGTCAAGGACATGGTCGTAGAGGGTGAAATCGTTGCTGGGAACGAAATCCACACCGGCAGCCTTGATCCTCTGCCAGTTTGAGATTCTGACTTCCTTGGCTACAGCCAAAAGCTCGGCCTCGGAGAGTTTGTCACCCCAGTAGGCTTCGACGGCCTTTTTGACCTCTCTCTTGTCGCCAATTCGAGGGAAACCAAGTACTGAGATGGGTCAATCCAAATAGGAAACATATCAATCAGTCAGGGCTCGTCCAATGCATTCATAGGAGAGGTGAGGCTCACCGGCAGAGTGAACCATATTGATTGGAGTCAGGAGGGTAAATTGATAATTTGGTGATATATTTTCTGGGCAAGTTGGGATAGTTGAGCACTGAGGTGGGTGGGTATGTAATGGGAAATCGGCTGGGGGAAGAAACCCAACAAGTTCAGTGACTATGTCGATCGAAGGCCTGTCCAAGTTGTGGTTGCAACCCTCGATAGAAGGATATCCGAACGGAGATCGGGGGAGATGTCACCAAAAGGGGTCAATGTCTCAGGTGGAACGCAGAAGAAGACTAGTCCTAGAATATTTGTCCGTATCGGATGAAGAAGAGGAAACCTCAGACTTGGAAGAGAAGGCCTTCTTATAGGGAATGAGGGCAGCCAGCGTCAAGCTCCCAGGAGAAGGATCCTGAGTCCGAGCCCGGCGTTAAGCAGAGCAAGTAATGTCTTGGAAAGGAACCTCCAAGAAACAACAAGCGTCATCAGAAAGGGGCGTGATCTGTGTGATGACCACTTTGTCAAATTGCAGCGCTGCAAGGCGTCCATCCTTCTTTCCTATTGTAAAGGGCCCTTCCTTGGCTTGGATGTGGGTGTGATGCAACCCGTGTCAGATCTGTGGCTATATGCCACACATACAAGGGACTCAAACCAATCTGCTGCTGCATCTGAAAATACCGGATTGGTTCGGCTGTTGGGTTCTGATTCACAAGCTGACTCCGGCTCTATTAACTTCAAGGGTTGCTATCAAGTCAGTTTGATGCAGCATCTACAATAGGTGACTTCATATGTATGTAAAAGACGAGGTGCTTCCGTGAAGCAGAGATGGATTCAACAAACATAAATGATGCAGCATTGGCATCAACTGGAGGAAACAAACAACTCCTAATGTGTAGCCAACAACACTGTCTGCAGACAGTCCAAGGAGTTGTTTCTTCCAAATCCACAGCTGAGATTGGGGCATCCAGAGATTGACATGTTTTCTTTCTTTTTTTTTCCTCTTGGACCACAATGCTGGAAGAATGTCAATACAGATTTTGGGCCCTAGTAGCTCCATGTCATCTCCCACTTGACAGGAACATATCATGATTTGATTTTGAGCACCCGTTGTTCTCTTGTGGGTCAACCCCCAGAGTCCCTGACCTAAGTAAACCCAAGCTTCTCTCAAACCTAGGACAGGTTTAAGATGCTTATTTCTGATGCGGCAGTAGCCCCAAGAACTTGCTTGGACAAGCTAATGAATGGGCACAGTTTATTTTTTTTGACTCAAATCCAGCCTATTAGGATCCTAAGCAGAGTTGCTACAAAGTTCCTTTTTTTTTAATGAGCTGCATGTCAACATTTCTTGAAAATCATATACTTTCCATTTCATTCCAGGACATCAATTAGATCTGTAGATCACTCATGAATTAACTATGTACAAGACCAACGATGGGTCTTTACTTTACAGATATTGGTATTGTACCGTTACAGATTTCTTTTTGACTCAATAACCCTACGGGTTTTACCGCAATTCGTATTGGATTTTTCTTCACAATATCCCAGTTTGTGGCTTTTGTTTTATTTGCTTTCGATACAATAACTGAGATATGGGGATTTTTTTCTGTTACTGAGCAATAAAAAAGACGGAAACAACTATTTTTTTTGCCTGTCGTCTTCAGAAAAAGACTGAATCTCAACAGCCAATTTGGAATTGGATTAACGTTCTGCCTCTGCAGGACGTTTGTGAGGAGCCAGCCGTGTTAATCTCACCCACAAGTCCAATGATGGTGCCACCATTTTTGGTGCAATGACAAGAGATGAAGCTCTTGATGAGTGGTGTCGTTGAGTCTGAGAGTGATCAGTAGAATAGCCTTCAGTATTTTTACCGTCGGAGGGGTCATTCTGAGTGGATTTTGGAGTTTGTGAGGCCATGCTGCTTCTAGTATCTGGGATAAGGGTCCTGGGGATTCTAGCAGGGGTATGTCCCACATATAAGCATGGGATAGCTCACCAAAGGCCTGCTGTCATCAAATTAGGGCTTTTTTATGCCTTTTGCCCCTTGGTGGAGTTGGTTGTTGTGTTAACCAGGGGTAAAACAGAAACCTATAACTATATCTGTATGAAGCAACCAAAAAATGGGTGCCTCAATACTATACTAGTTGCTTGGGGCTTGGTCCTTTACTAGTACCGGTATTAGTAACGGGTGGTCAAGCATACATTTACTATAACAAAAGGGGCTGGTTATTGTAGAGTACAGTAAAGACCCATTGTTGACAAGACTTACACCCTTCATCAGCCATCATCCACCCACCCACCTTCACCTTCCAAAACTCTCAATCATGATTCATGAGGATGTCATTGTCTAACTCACACACTGGAGCTATGTTGCGGATTCATCCCTCACTCACCATCTCCAATTTCCAAACCAAAAAAAAAAAGAATAAGAAAATACTAAGAAACTTTCAACACTGTCAATCACTCAATCCAACACAAAAAAAAGACCACACAACACAGATTCAAGATCTTCTTGTTGTTGTTGGTGGAGATGAAAGCTTCAATCCAATCAAAACACATCAAAAAGGAGTAGTGTAGTAGTCATTGTAGTGGGAGTAGGGAAAGAGGCAAGAGAGAGAGAGAGCACCACCCCTTCTACCTAACTAGCCCTTCCACATAATGTGCCCACAAACATCCAGACAATCCAAAACAAACCTCCACGCCAACCGTGCAGAAAAACAAACCTTCCCACCAAGTTCATGAAAGGTCACAAACCACCCCTTCCCGCCTAAAAAAAACTCAAAAAAAA